ATGATTCGTGCGACTTCATCGTGCAGGCGCATTTGGCAGCCCTTGCCATAGCCGTCCTGCAAGTAAGCCCGCTCGCTTGGTAGGAGGGACAGGTTTAATTTCCTTTTTTTAGCAGGTTAATCCAAGCTCAGCTAGCCGATGCTTTGGTGATTGACGCCAAGATCGATTCGCGCTGGCAAATGTTACATTGGGTCTACATAGGCCCCTTTCCTTGCTGTGAGGGGAGATCATTGATCACGGACCCTCGCCCAGAGAGCTAATTCGGATACCATGGCGAACTGGTGCCCATGAGAAAAATTACGAAGTCCCTTCTCTTGGCTCGGGGTCTCTCCTTTTGCGCGGAGAAGTCCACCGGGTTGATGGAGTCGCTGTCAAGAGACCTCTGATTTCGTCAGAGGCGGTGAAAATCACCTTCACCCCACCTACTCGAAGAAGAAGAATAAAAAAGCTCCGAAGGAGAATAGATCATCCTCTGTCTCGGTCTCTCTCCGACGAAGCGCCTCATCCAACACCACAGGAGTCATAATTACTACAGATGTGTCGTGTATTATTAGCACCTTCCCAAGTGGTTGTCACCCAAGGCTTAGAAGCCGCGGTATTGAACGGATCAGAATGGACATTCGGGGTCTTTTAGCTCGCTACCAGACAGTCGTTGTGTGGAGGGCAATATTATTGATTTCCTTTGGTCTCGCTTTTTTCCAAGTACGAGGCCGGCCAAGCTCGTATGACTACATGACCCGTACCAACCACCGGGGTTGGCCGTGGGGTGGAGTGAGGAAAAGTCGACCTCCATACAAACAAATCTATCCAGGCTACTACGGTTACACCCCTCGACACCTCGTGAGTTGTTTCTTGATCAATTATGTGTTCGTATTCCACGCCTTCCTGTATTACCTTCCCACCCACTTGATTCCAAAGACCGGTCTTTGCTTCCATTGTTACATTGTCAAACCGACACGGCATGGCCAAGAAAGAGACCCAAGAATCACGATCATTGAAGGGTACATCAACGGCGCAATATTTATGGAGAAAGACTCCAACATTGCCTGGCGGTCACCACAAGCATCAATCCGAGCACCCGAGGCGAGAGACGGGTACGAATAATACTGTGTGTATTATTATATTTCTCACTGTCCATTACTGGATGCTACCAAGTGGAGGGAGCGAAAATTAATCCTCCATTCTGTATGAAGGAGTGGAGGGCAGTGGTTAAAACCGCTGCTAGAATTAGAGCATAGGACAAAGTAGTCAGTAGTACGAAGTATATCTTGATTGATATGAGCCGTTGGTCCACAGCAGCACTGAGTGTTATACTTCGTAAACTTTGGTCTGCCACGATGCGGCAGCGATCGGACTTACCTTTCTCTCCCGCCTGCAGGCAGGAGGACATGGGCACGCAAGCAGCTTGTCCGGGCCTGGTGCTGCAGGTGCATCACGACGCCTCGCCTTGTGTGTGCTGCACAATGAACACTAGGCGTCCCACACGAATAACCTCACCACTCCGGATATAGGATCAGCTCTCCGGGGCTTCGTGCTGAAAACGCCAGGCACGATTCGTCAACGGCGGCTGATGTTGCGACTTACACGGACACAAGGATATTTTGTATGTGCCCTGGTCACTTTCTCAGTATCCAGGCTGGCTGCGGTTAGTTGGCGAGGGCCAAATGTTCTCTTTGCAGCCACGGCAAAAAAACTAGTGGCGCCTTGGCGCATGTTAACGGATCGGGAAAAGATGAAGAAAAAGAAATATGTAATAATAAAATGAAGGAACCGGACACTTCTTGAGACTCTGGATTGTGTACCCGAGCGCAGGTAAGTAACAATTGATATTGATGGAAGAAGATTGTGTCCTAGACATGCCGTTTCACGCAACGAGGTACAAAGGAGTGCCCTGAAAATAGGTTCCAGCCAGCGGTCGACTTCATGGAGTGCAACTCCGCCTCAAGCCTGCGCGACGAACACTGCAGGCAGGCGGGGCTGAGCAGCTGAAAAGCTGCGAGGAGGAGATGCATCCATCGTCGCAGAGATGCCCGACTAAGGCTGTTTTACACGCTTGTGTAAGGAATGTGAGGCCTAGGCAGACCGCCCTGACCAGGCTTCACTTATGGCAGATCTGGTGGTGGGGCACGCCTCCTCTCAGGCAAAACCAGCGCCCGGTTGACGGCCTCTGCTGTAGGCCGACTGCAATGGAGTCCGACGAAGCAAATATGTCCAGCCTGGGCAGGAGTCGCGGCGCAGGCTTGGCCCAATCGCTTTGCAATGTTACTCTCGTTGGTCGGAGGTCTTCATTGACGAATGTGAGAATTGCAAGACGTGCTGACGCCTCGACCAACCTGGAGATAATCCGGCCAACCTCACGAAGTTTGACTCCGTACATGTTGGTGAGACTGGCAACTGTCGCGATGATGCTTGAAGCTGACGAAGTCTGGCATTGCGTCAGCACCAACAAGAATCCAATGATTTCATATATCCCGCGCACACGGATAGACTGATGGACGGGTAGATACTACTTCTGACTTTCCCCCATATTGAGGTGCAGCGGCAATGCGGTAGTGATATTGCTCGAAAGTGGGAAGCTAGAATCCCGCCTTGCAGAGCATCATATAAGCTCTGTTCGATGAGCTTCTAGTGGCCTGTGGATTGGTTGCCCAGACACGGAAAAACGCACAAACCTGCTGGATCTGGGAAAGGGATATTTCATGGGGGTTTCGATGTTGGTTTGTACTTCGTACATCGAGTTGTCCGGATCCGAGGGAGTACGATGGATGTACATATTAGGAAGTAGCTCGGGCAGATGTCAGTTCGAGATTGATGTCAGTTTCAGAACCCTATGGGCTTTCTTTCCATATTCGGGATCCAACTCGTCATCTCTACCATGACCCAGAGCCCCTTCCCAGTTTCCCCTCCCTAAGAGAGAGGGGCTCTTGACCTTGAACAACATCGACCTCATCTATCCCCTACGCTGCATCTCAAAATTATACTACCAAGTATTACTCCCCACGCGCCGAGAGGAGTCGTGCAGTGTGCATCAATCGGACTCACTTTGACTCCATTGTCGTAATGAGGCCTGTATCCACTTTTACGGGCTCCATTTGGACAAGGCTCAAAGAGGCAACCGGGACCAGGATTGGATGACGACGCACAGTGTACCGAACAACGTTGTATTCGGTACCCACGTTTCAGTCTTTTCTTGAACTCTGACCTCATCGACACCCGAACTATAAGTAAAATGAAAAGCGACAAGCTCAACGAAGCCGGCCTATCATGGCGGTACCTTTGACAAGATGTCATCATTGCTCTTTATCCAACCAACAACCATCAAATCAATCTTGCATCGATAATCTCAGCGCCAGAAGAAGAAGATGGGAAGGCGTCTCCCCGCCTAGCTTTCCACAATTTGCAATTTGCAACTTCCTGTGCAACTGCAAATTAGATCACATGTACGATCCCAAGTACAACAATTTGAATCCGTGATGGAAACATTACCTCGTAATGGAAAGAAAGAGCCTTGGCTGGCACGACGATAGCAATTTCGCCTGGTGATATTAGGCTGGGTCAGGCCATGTGTTTGGGGTTTTCTCGTGCTTCAACAGCGAACCTAGAAAACAAACTCGCTCCTGCCACGACCTAACCATGTGCAAACGTGGGTGAGACTTGCCAAAGCCATGCTCTGAGTAAATTTGGTGGTATCAACCAGGGTATCCACTAGCTTTGGGGGGTCTTGGGGAAGTCTAAACCTAGCGCCGCCCCCTGGGCGGACGGGGACCGCATGGTACCTACTTCCTGGAGACATCCAACCTCACTCGACTGCGTCGCGATGTATGTACAAACCTCCTGGATCCCTGGACGACTGCTAGGATGTACCTGAGACCTCCTTCTCTTGTCACTTGCTTTGTTCCGTTCTTGCCGCCTGTCAACCCACCACAGACAATAGTACGAGTAGGTGCAGGCAATCACTGAATTCCGGATTGGACGAGACTGCGGCATGTTGTATTATTACCACGCCTCTTGCTGCTACACCCTCTCTGGCCTGGTACGTTTGTACTTTGAGACTACGAAGTACACTAACTCCTTCGTTCACTACGAAGCATGTCTGGGCAAAAACGCTCCATTGATCGCTGACGCTGCTGTGGAGCTTGTTCTGGCGCATTGCTGGAACTGGAACGGGGCCTGCCTAGTATTATTGCTGGACCCTCAGCCCTTCCATGCCCCCATAATAGCAAATCTCCTAATCCACTTTGCCTTCTTCTTCCTTTCCAGTGTGTTCAGGTTCCCTTTCCTTTCTTGCATCTGTACCGTACCAGAAACCTTGTCAAAGGTCTCCCCAGTCCTTGCCCACCTCGGAGTGTTTTAAGAAAAAGGACTTCGTTGCCTGCGCATTCTCGGCTTCACTTCCTTCACCTCAGCCTGTTCCATTCTACCTCGTAATATTCCCTCAACCAGACTGTCGACATACCAGTATCTTACTCCATTCCGGCCTCCGACTAGTTTTTCTTCTTGCGAAGCATCAAACGGCGAAAAAAAAAATCACGTACTTTCGATCCGCGAGGAAAACAGGCTGCGCAAGAGGCGTACATCGGTTTGCTCGAGGGTGCAGGACAACAGTTTAAACCCGGCCCAGCCTATCCTGGTGTTACTCCGACCGAACGACGATCATCCCTCAAGATTGCGTGAAACTGCCTGCAACGGTCTCTCTCTCCCTCTCTTTGCCAACCCGCCCTTACCCAACCTTGTTCTCCCGTCCCAATGCTCTGATGCACGATCGGTTTCCACAATAACCACGTCGTAAAGGGGTTAATCCGCCACTCGACGACCTAAGATTCCTGGAAGCCAAGTTCTTGTTCGTCGGCTTCAGAACACGGCGGTTTCGATCCCGTTAGTCACTCGTTTGAATATTCACACTCTCCTAATTCGCAGGCAGCGAGGAAAAGTCGACACGTCTGCCAAGTTTCGACTCTATTCCCCCCTCTCTGCTCCCTCTTCCTCACACCCTAGCAGCAATGGCCGCAGTCTCGCCTCCGCGAACGGTTCCCCCATCATCACCGAATGCAACGCGACGGAAACCGATCCCTTCGTCCTTGACGAGTTCTCCCGAGAGGCCAGCTAGCAGCGAGAGCGGACCCCACAAGCCGCTGCCCATCGTTCCCTTGTCGACGGGAGCTCTCTACCGAGATGCTCCTGTTTCCCCCGTTAGGGTGAGCCACCAGACCGGTCCGCTGCCGACGCCCTCGAACGCACACATCGAAGTTGCCCCGTCGCTCCCCGATACTCCCACCCTAGAATTCCACCATGCCGAAGATCGCGAACTTCCTCGGGCACCCGAAGCGCCCCCCCTTCCTGCGCATCACCCTTATCATCAGGATCCTCCGATTAGGGATGATACCGCGGCTCCCGCTGCTACCGACAAGCCGCTTCCTCCTGTTCTCAACCCCTACTCTCCTACATTGCCCCGGGGAAGGATTCCCGAGTCGCTTCTGGCAGAGCGGGCTGGCAACAACAATACCTTGAGCACACCAGTCACATCTCCGGAACCTGATGACGGTAGCAGTATTCTCAGCCCCTCGGTTGATTCTAGATTTCTAGACCCTCATAGACAGAGCCGCGAGTCCGATGCTACGTCGAGCACTACTCACGCCCAGACATCGACGGAATCTTCCGGTGCTACGAGCGCCAGTTCGGTTTCTGTGGTCAATGAACAGATCGAATGCCTTGAAGACTCTGGAAGCGGCTCTGGCGAGAGCTCGGTGATCGAAGGAGGTCCACCCGGGAGCCAATCCGTCCCTCAGTTCCAGTATCACCACAACTCACAGTTCCCTCCTCGGGTATCCAGCGTGCCGCATGAGGGCGATATGAGGACTGTCTCGAACCCAGATCTCCTTGAAACAGCCACCGCCATGAACCGTCACTTAACCCCCAGCCAACAATTCATCAGGAGAAGCTCCCTACCCCGGCCTAACTCGGCATATTCTATCTACTCGGACTATGGCGCCAGGGGCCGGTCCCCCAACTTCTACCCCGGCGGCTCCCATATTCGTGCTCCCTCGGTACAGTCTCGACGGTCTCCCGATCTCCGGCCCTCCTCGTACGCCGAGCTTCTGAACGTTCCCTACCCGCAGCCGCCGCCCGCGCCTATCACCTTTGACAATTCGCACTTGAGGGGCGCCGTTGGGAACAATGCAGCTCTTCTCAGCACTCAGAAGACTCTGGAGATGTATCGGCAAAACGTGAAAAAGACGAACGACTTCTCCATCCAGTACTCTTTTGCTGTCTTCTTGATATCGACCGCTCAGGAGATGGGCTTGAACCCCGAAGAGCCCGAACATAGAAAACCTAGCCCACAATCCAATAAGGCGGGCGACAGCCCCAGCCCTTACGGTCAGAGTGGCCTCTCCCCCTACGAGCTAGTCAGGGAAGCGCGAAGCATCTTGCAGCGGTTGTCGAACGCCGGTTACCCATTCGCGCAGTACTACCTGGCTGACGGCTATGCGTCCGGTCTCTTCAGCAAAGGTAAAGAGGATTACAACACAGCTTTCCCTCTGTTCATCCTAGCAGCCAAGCACGGTCATGCCGAGTCAGCCTACCGCGCTGCTCTGTGCTACGAGTTTGGCTGGGGCTGCCGAAAAGACCCCACTCGAGCTGTGCAGTTCTTGCGCGTCGCCGCTACGAAGAGCCACCCGGGAGCCATGACTCGTCTCGGCAGGGCCTGTCTTTCGGGAGATCTCGGTGAGAGGCGGTACCGCGAAGGACTGAAGTGGCTCAAGTTGGCGACGGAAGCCGCGGATGCTATCAACAACTCTGCCCCTTACCACCTCGGTTGTCTCTATGAGATGGGATACGGCGATGACATCTTTATGGACGAGAGCTACGCCGCCGAGTTGTTTACCCAGGCGGCCGAACTGGGTCACGCCGAAGCTAACTATCGGATGGGCGATGCTTACGAGCATGGCAAGCTGAACTGTCCTCGCGACCCGGCTCTAAGCGTTCATTTTTACACCGGCGCTGCCGAAAAAGGCCATGCTGCTGCCATGATGGGACTGTGCGCGTGGTATATGGTTGGAGCGGAACCAATTCTAGAGAAGGACGAGGAGGAGGCATATGAGTGGGCGCGCCGCTCTGCTGAGCTTGGTAAGTTTACTCAATCATACCTCGCAAGAGGAGACCATCGCTTTACCAATACCTGGTTTTAAACGCTAGTCCCCCCCCCGTCCCTTTCCACTGCCCAGGGAGAAGGTTTAATCGCTTCACGCATGTGCTAGGTCAGGATGAATGATGCTAACTCCTCGCGACCTCTAGGTTACGTCAAGGCGCAGTATGCCGTTGGCTACTTTACGGAGATGGGCATAGGCTGCCGTCGCGACATTTTAGAAGCCAACGTCTGGTATGTCAAGGCGGCGGATGCCGGCGATGAGCGGGCCAAGCAGAGAATCGCTACGATCAATGCGGCTATCAGGGGCGGCCAGGGTGCGGGAGCTACCTCCCGCGGCGGAAAGATCAAGAAAAACAGTGATGATAAGGAATGCATCGTGATGTGAGAAGGGTGCTGGCGGAAGCATAATCGCAACTACAAAAAAGGGGAACGAAAGCATTTCTGTTGGCGAAAGCAACACTATCATGATACACAGGATGATGAAGATTAGACTTCGTCCGGTTGTTACCGGGCTATTCGGCACTAATGTCCCCGGGGTTGGATATTCGATACGTTACAGTGGTCCCCTATCCTTTTTTTTTTTCTATTTTTTAAACGACAGGAATAGCAGGACGGCGGCGACGGCACCAGCTGCCATTTCCAGATTTGAGGCGCGATGACCTCATTCTACGACGCATCTCCTCGGTCAATTCTTTACCACCTGCTCCCTTCCTCTGTTTCCACCGGATCGACTGAATGATCTCGACGACCATCGAGGGCTTCTGTTGGCCGGGTTCATATTTCTCACGCAAAAATACCCTTTTTTTCGTCGGCAATCGCCTCGAAAGAATATTCGTATCGTATGATGGTTGAAGTTGGAACGAGGCAGCATCAGCGCGAGGAGGTTAATAGCGAGACTCGACCATCGGGCTGCATTTACTCTAGCATTCCTGCTACTTTTCTCTTTTTTTTCCTTTTTTTTATCATTACTCCTTACCAACCTCTGATGTTCGGAAAAGACCGGCGAGAATATACTCAGCACATTCCCTCTATCGCTAGTCTCCTAGTCTCTCCCTTTCTCTTCATTTCTTTCATGGGGGTTTATTGGCGTTTTCATGAGATGGCGAAAGAAAGGAATCGTTTCTTGAATTGCTTGAGTTATTCTTTTTTGTTGAACCTCTATTTTTTGCTTCCGCGCTCTAAACCACTTGTTGAGTTCCTGTTATTCCATCCGTTTGTTGTTTGGCAAACCTACTCTCCGGAATCACTCACTCATCCCACTGCGCTTTGACTCCCTGTTTTATTCTCGCCCAAACCAAGACATGGAAGAGGCCGTCCGGGGGGGTGTATGAAGGTGGAAGAGGGGGATGCCAGAGCTTCGATTTTCAAGCAAAAATTGCGCTGTTTTCCTGTTATCCAGCCTGGTTTAGTTGTACATACCAACTATAGACAGTAATAATGCCCTGTTCGAGATGGGACAGGTGGTGGTTTGCCTGTTTTTTTTCGCCCGAAGTTCAGACCTGCGTTGATTGAGGATGTTTTTCAGTCATCACTAGGGAAGCGCTGAATCGCGAAGGGGTATGTATGCCAAGTCTAACACACAAAAGCATAGCTTCAGGACTCTGACCATTCCTAGATTGGAACGTGGCCAACCTATTCACAGCAACATTCAAAACAGCGAGTTCCGTTTCGTTTTTCAATGGCTCCAATTACATTAGAAACGGCAAACAGAAGGAGGGGCTTCTTCTTCAACAGTTGCCCGAAGGAATCTAATCCCCAAGACAAGAAAAGTCTCACACGCGATGTAAGTGCGTCTACCTATCAACAAAACCCCTGTCCCCAAGGTTCTTCGAAAAATATTTCCTGTAATGTGGTTGACTTCTGGTGCTCTTCCTATGCTTACAAAAACTTGAACGGATGGGAAAGAAAAGAAGACGAAAGAGGAATAAGCTGAAGGAAAAACGGAAAAACGGAAAATCAAACAAGTCGTCATGAGTTTCATGGCTTCGTAAGTTTGTGTGTGCTTGTCTCGAAACAGAGCCCGACTGTTGGTCGTTGGTATTAGAAAGGATAGTCGAAACCCTGAGACGAGAATGCAATAAAGTGAATGGGAATTAGAAAAAAGGAGAAATATTCATCCCGGAACGCCCTTCTTTATCCCGCAGAATCCCGAGCAGAACAAAAAGAGAGACGGTAAAAGAAAGGAGAAGAAAACGGAGGAAAACAAACTCCTTGACAGACCAAAGGGTATATATATCCCACAACTGTTGCCCTCGGCCTCTCTTACATGTCACTCCTCGCAGCAACTTTCTTCCTCCTCGACTCGTCAATATCCTCCCCAATCTCCTCCGGCTTCCTCGGATCCACATACGCCGTAAGCCTCCGATCCCCCCAGCGAGCGCCGACGGTAACCCAAACGTGCTTCTGCGGGATAGGCACGTTGACCGTCTCGCGGAACCCCGTCCACCGGAGCCTGCTCTCGCGGCTCATGGAGCTGTTTCCGAGGCCGCCGTTGGACACCCATTCCTTGACCACGCGCTTGACGAAGTCCACCTTGCGGCGGAAGTCGTTGGCCGCGGGGATGCCCTGCAGCTCGGGAGGGATTTCGGGTCGGCGGCGCGTCGAGGCCGTGGTTGAGCGCGTGGAGCGCGTGGCGTTGGGTTTGGTCTGGAAGTTGAGGAGGGTTTGGAGGGGGTAGGAGAGGACGCCGCGCTCGTCGAGGGCGTTGGGGATTAGCTTCCCGGCGTTGGCGAGCTGGGTGGCGGCGAATTCGGGGAGGTGCCAGAAGTGGCACCAGGTGCCCGTCGAGTCGAGGACGAGCTTTGTGTGATCTGGGAAATTGAACTGTAAAAGCGAGTTGTTAGTCTGATTTAAATTGAAACAAAACGCGTCTGGCAAGAGAGAAGGATTCTTACCTGAAGGTGGCCGTCGCAGAACACCCAACAGCCAACGTCGCCAAATCTCTGATAGAAAATGACGACCTGAGCCGGATCAATCTCCTCCACGCCCGACGGCATAGCCTCCTTCAGCGGTGATGCATCGCCCGCAACTCCATCATCCCTCCCATAAGCGATCATGTAGTTTGCAAACTTCTTCCAGAGGATGATCCTCTCCCGCTTCCGATACTGGTACGCGTCCGAGCCCGGCCCGAGCTTAGCGGGCACCCCGTTGTCGCCGACGGGCACGCGGAACTCCTCGGGCGAAACCGTCAGCTGCGCGAGTCCTGCCTCTCCGCGGTTCTCGAAGAAGTGGATGTTTCGGTTCATGGGGACTGGTTGGTGTCTGTCCGCGTATCGCTCGTCCTGGCGGAGCTGGACGTGGCGCTCCGAATTTTGGATGACCATGCATGCAGGGGGCAAAAGCACCGCCTTGCTTCCCTCGGGCGTCGCGATTTCGCGCAGGACGCAGCCGATGCTGCCGTCGTTTAGGATGTAGCCGAGGCCGAACTTGTTCGTGTAGTCAACCCACTTCACAACCACTTGAGGGTGAGGAGGCGCTACAGTCTTGGATGTGATGATGGCCATGGTGCGCGCGTTGAGGGCTCGTTCCAGCTCGGTCTGTAATCGCTGCAGACGGCTTAGGATGATATCGGGCTGAGTACCGGCTACCTCCGCTGTGCGTTCCAAGGGACTGAAAAGAGATGACTTAATCATGGGAGTAGACGGCCCTCTTACGGTGGCCGGCGCTGATTGAGTTTCCCGAGTTAATGTCTGACGCTCAGCCGAGGCAGAAGAGGCCGCGCGAGTGTGACCTGAGGAGGATGGCAACTTAGTCCTGGCTGGCGCCTCCGAATCGATTCTTGGGATCGTTTCACTACGTGATCGCAGAGCGAGAGGTTCGGCAGCGACTTGGTGTCCTTCCCGACGGGGACGCGAGCGCAATCCAAGGCGCAGCTCCTCGCGCTGGATAGTTTCAAGGGCTTGTTGTTGAGTCCTCTCGGACGTCACCCCTCGTTGTCGGGAAACAGTACTGGCGGTCGTCATAGAAGTCTTTACTGCCGAAGGAGGGGCCATTGGAGTCGACGCGGCGGAGTTGATGGAGGTGGCTGAAGTGGGAGGAGGAGCTCGAGGAATCATGACAGCTGCGGGTCGACCCTGCGCTCGCTGCTGGGCGGCGAAGCTCTGAGGTGGTTGCCTAAGTAGACCGGTCGGCACAGTACCAGATTTGGTTGTCAAGTCTTCAGTGACGGTCTGTAGCTTTTGGGGTATTTGCGCCTGGATCTGTTGAGGCGGCTGTTGTTGCTGCTGCTGGTATTGTTGATGCGAGGGTAATAGCCTGCGCACCCGGCCGGAAGAAGACTGAGGTTGCTCTCCAAGCCACTCATCGAACGGTCGGTAAACAATTCCTTCTGCTAAGGGGATCATGGGAGTGAGGCAAGCCTTCTCCTCAGCGGCCATCTCCTTCCACACTTGAGAGTGGATCACCTGCACGGGGGCATAAGGGCCAACCATGCAGTCCATAGAAAGAGTCCTCAAGTTTTCAAGGGACTCCTTGTATTGCTCCTCCGTTAATTCATCCATGTAGAATTCTGAGCGCTCAGGTGGAAGCTCGCGAAGCCTGGGTGTGATATCGGCAGGCACAGGCATGTAGCCTACGCGGAACCAGGGGTGCTGGACAATGGAATCCGGGTCGGGACGGGACTCTGGACTCTCTAGCATACTGGCGACCAGGTCCTTGGCCTCCCCGCTGATGAACTTTTGGGTTGTTTCCGGATCAGGCCATTCATAATCGCGGTCACGCGCACGGCGGTAGATTTCGTCGGTCGTCGAGGATTGGAAAGGAGGTTTTGAGGTGAGCATCGCAAACCTAGCAGAAAATATGTTAGCCCTTTCCTTTACTTCTTTCCTTCAGAGTCAACCGAGCCGGGGAGTGGTACATTATAATGCCCAAGCTCCAAATGTCTACGCTATGGTCATGGCCCTTCTTCCCCTTCTCCAAGATCTCGGGGGCGATGTAGTTAGGGGTGCCGCAGAGAGTGGTACGTCTTATGGTCTGCATGTCTCGTCCGGTCACCACCAAGGCAGCGAGGCCAAAGTCGCCAATCTTAGCATTCATCCTCGAGTCGAGAAAGATGTTGCCCATCTTCAAGTCACGGTGGATGATTCCTTTACCGTGCATGTATTTGATAGCACCAGAAATCTGGACGGCGTAGAAGCGCACTTCGGGTTCGGTGAGACCTTTTCTCCTCTTGACCATATCCATGAGCGAGCCGTTGGGACAGAGTTCAAGGATGAGGTATGTGGATTGCTCAAAGCTAAATGCGCGGAGGAAGTTGACGATATTCTTGTGCTTCATCTTGGAGTGTATTTGCAGCTCGGTTTGAAACTGAAACGCGTCGGCAAGGGTCAAGGATCAGCAGGTTATTCACAACAGACACCGAGGACAGCACCATCGCGAGACATACCTTCTGTTCCATCTTGGGCGGCATCTTGCTCTTCACAATCTTAAGAGCGTATCGCTGCTTAGTACCCTCCAGCAGGCCATAGTAACAGATGGCGAAGCCTCCTTTTCCGAGGAGCTTTCCGACCTGGTACACAGAACCCTTGGGATTGCTAGGAGTGGGCGGCTCGAGAACTTGAGCGGGAGGCGGAGGGGGATGTTCCTTCTCCTTGGCTGCTTTGAATTGCGCGGCCTTGACCTTGAGCTCAGCTGCCTTGTTGTTTGGCATCCTTTGGGCATTCGCGTCCCTAGGCGACAGAGCCTCTAGGTCAATGCCCCCTTTTACGGCCAGCCTCTGGGCCATTGCGGTTCGAATCGATCGAGGGTCCGGCAGGATGGTGGTCTGGGTTGTGACGGGACCTCAGACCTCGGAAGCGCGAAAGAATCGTATGGGCGGGAGATCGGGTTCTTCCTCGCTCGAAGCTGTCGGGGAACGATGAGGAGGAGGGGACTACGAGATGTCTCCAGTTAGTCGAGTAGTCATCCCAAATAGAAAAGGGATATAGAAAGAGAAAGGCACACCTGGTGGAAAAGGGGACTCTTGTCTTGGAAGGAAGAACTCACATTTGTTATACGTCTACACCTTGAGTGCATACGGCTGTGTTGTGATGAGAACTGAAGCTTGAGGCGCTGTGATGGGAATAGCCTTACACACCTACAACAACGGGGGGGATTAGGAAGGAATTATCACGGCTGAGAGTAGAGCTGGAGTTTGGGGAGAGAGTTGTGGTGTGTATCAGTAATAGTGTAAGTGTGCTCCGGGGTTTGATGGGAACATTGAAGCCGTGGATTTCGAGGGCAAAGCTCTGGTGCGGTGTGGTTTGTGTATCTTCTACGCCAAATTTGGTTGCCGCGCAACGACGACGGCGACTGCAACCACGACCACCACCATCTCCACATCTGCACTCCTTATACAATCCTAGAACTCCTCCAACAACGAATTGATTGATCAATGCAACAAATGCCGATAATTCCTAAATCTGGACATTTCAAGAATGGAGTGTGGATGTGGCCTTAGTTTTCGATTCCCGTTGAATCGGCATCAAGACCCAGCACGCGACTCATGATTGATCGATCCCTCCAACCCTGCTCAACCAGTTCATCAAATCAACCGCGATCCGCCCTCGAAGAACTCGACAACCCGATCCGCATCCCACTCACCTAAACACTTGCGCAACGAAGCCTGCCCTTCCGCGCTCATCGCCGTCTCCGCCAGATCTTTCAAGCTATTCGAAATCGTACATAGAACCCGAGCTTGCTTTTCTGACAGCGGGTTCCCGATTACACAGCAGGCGACCTGCGCAACTCTCCGAGACATGTCGTCCGTGAGCGTCCGTGTCGCCGGTTGTTCTGATCCGTGAGCCCTGTTCATCCGCCTTCTGAGATTGTTCAGGGTCTCGTGTAAGTGCGACGGAGACACTAAAGGAAGCAGCGTAATCGGTAGATCCATCGCAATTCTAGATACCAAATCAGACGCCGGCCCGTGCCCAACGACATTCAGTAATGTCCCTCCTTGCTTCGAAACTTACTCGACCTGTAGCTTGAGAAATGCACTCATACCATAGTCTTGGCCATTTCCTTCGCCCGGCCCTGGTCCCGCTGTTTCTCCCACCAAAACTAGAGCAGCGATGTCCGTTCCGCCATTAAGCCGAGCCAGCGTCTTCAAGCGTTCCCGTCCTTCTGATGTCCTGACACCCGTAATCGTAAACAGGGAGATCCTATAGGTCCTCGTGCGTTTGCCCGGCTGGTGAACCGGAAATGCGATGTCATGGCTGCCAATCTGCGCCTCTGGATGCGCTGCTGTCAGCTGGTGACGAGCTCACTTCTTGTTCAGAAGTTCAGCGCCCGTCCTTACCTCTCCACTTCAGCGACTTGTCCACGAGGATGTCAGGAACCACAGCACCCCAGCCTAGTCGTTTTCGTAGGGAAGAGCAAAGCATTGTAGTTTTTTTTTTTTTTTTTTTTTTTTTTTTTTTTTTCGGCCCTAGTTGGCGTTGACACCAACAAGATAGACGAGGTAGTCAAGGATCATACGGCGATTAAGTAATAGCAAAAGGATGAGAAGAACGGAAAGTCGTGCATATTGATCAGACGCTTTCACATATTGGGGCTATTATCGGTAACTGATTGGAGATATGAAATCTATGATCCTAGTCTATCCTGAGATGTAGTGAGAGTTCTGGTGTATCGGAAGGAACAAAGCTAGCCGTTCCTTCCTTCCATGTTTGGACAGCGGAGTGACATGACTTCTCGCAGCCGGCAGTCGTGAGAGTCCCTACCTACTCTTAGATAGCCCCATGACTGCCTCTATAGCGCTGCGTCGTTTTTCTCTGATCCAATTATCCTACAAGTTTTGTGTTCCAAGATGAAGAAAAACACCACTCAGAAGCCACACTGGTGTCCTCTCCAGATACTTCAACCCATGTCTTGAAGCATCCCGCACCCGGTGGCCCTCCTCTCTCTCACCAAGCAAAACCTCACGTCGGCTGCGGCTGCGGCTCACTCGGCTGCAAGCTCGGCAGCAATGGCTTCTTACTCTTCGGATCCTTCAAACCCCTCAACGCCTCCTCCAATTGATCCATCCTCACCCTCTGCTTCTCCTCCGCCTTCAAAAGCTCCTCCTCCTTCGACGTCAACTCATCCACCCGCTCCGTCAACACCTTGATCCTCTCCAAGTTCTGATCCGGCTTCCCTGACGACCGCCAATACTCGAAAATCAGCAACCCGCCCGCCACGCCCAGGATAAACATATCGCCCACCACGTCGGCGAAGAGCGCCACGGCTTTGGCCTCGGGTAGCTGTCTGAACTGTCTCCTCCATACGCTTTTCTTTGCTGGGGCGGGCTCACCGCCTGCTGCCGCCTTCTCGCCGCCACCCTTTTTGGCTTCTTGCGCTTCTTTCTCTATTTGTTCTTTCGTCTTTACTGTTGGCGCCTCGGCGAGGTCTTTCGCTTTCATTTCGGCTTCGACGTTTCGGAGGGATGCGACGGATAATCTCATATTGAGCTGGTGTATCCGTTGGCCGTTCCGCGCCGCGAATGCTCGGAAGCCCGGGTGGTCGTGCGCAGCTGTCTTGATACGGTTCTGTGGGGACCATTAGTCTCGCCTTTTTTTTTGGGGATATTTTTCCCCGGTGAGGGCATGCAATTTAGTGACTAGAGAGAAGAAAAGAAATAGGTAGAGTGTGACCGGGGATAGGGAACATACCGCGCCATATTTGGAGATGTGGCGGACGAAGAGAGCCGCAAGCTTGAAAAGTGGGAGCGGGACCATCGTGGTGAAATGTGTCGCCTCCCTAGCCACGCGGCTTGTGAACTACGGGATTCGCCCGTGTTTAGGTGTCGATAAATGTTCAATCGCTCGTCCGTATCATCACAGGCAGGAGATGTCGCAATTCAAATAGGTGAAGGGATCAAGAGAAGAAAGAAAAGCGCTCGCACCACCCCTAGTGTTGACGGAGCCCGTCGTTATCAAAATGAGTAATTGAATGGCATAACGCCTGGGGACGGTAAATTTTCGGGTTGGATCCCGATTCGTTTCGGACTTAACATCATCGTTGCTGAACCCCGGAGGTCAGCCTGTCGTCAGCATCACAGTACAATCGGCCTCGTAGGACAAGAGGATTCCTTTTGAATCGTTTTAACTATTTTTTTTTCTCACTCGTACAGTAAGTGTTGTCAATCATTAAGACTGGGCATGCAAGCCCCTCATCTCCTCCTTCAATGACATCATCGCCTGCTAAACAGCGCACCCAGCTTCCCACCCTCCACAACTAGTATTATACACGAATTCAAGTTCGGGTTCTGTTCGAGCTGAAAGAATCGTTGGTGCTTCCTTGCCGTTCTGGCATCTGCACTGGCAGTCAGTAAAACACCATATCATCCAGAGCGGGGGTCATTGATTTACTAACCTCAATCTCTTGCGCTTCACCTTCCTCAAGAATCTTCTTGATAATCTCGTCCTCATTCGAGGTGTTGAACTCGTTCTCTAGTATCGCCCTAGGAGGAGCATCGTAGATGCCTTGGGCTCCTTGTCTAAACGCAGCGGGTGCCCATGTTAACTTCATCCCCAACAATGCTCCAAACAAGAAGCGAGTTTCCATATTGGGTCGAAAGTAAATGAAAAGGGGACTTCACTTACCCGCCGGTGCTAAAGATCTTGTAGCTGGAGATGAAGTGAGGGAGGGGAATTGACTTGTCCGACATCCACTTCTTGTACGTCTCCGAGTCGTCAACAAAGACAATGAAGTCCTCGTGCTTGCCTCTAAGATGAACTCGAGTCTTCTGGGCTTCTCCACGTGCCATTTTCAATGATGGTTATGTATCTTCCTTGGGCTATTTGTTGGCGTATAAAGGGTTGTTGTTGGCTTGAGTTTAGGGTCTCGTTCGTAGGATATTCAGTAGTCGTCAGGATGGATTTATGGTAGTACAATGGCTAAGTTGTAAGAATCAAGAGAGGAAACATCTACCTATAAATACAGCAAAACGAACTCGACTCGATGCCTCCCAGATCATGATCTGATAATAAGACGAGGCTTACCACGGCACCTTGGCGCGGAGGCACGCGCAATGTCGTCGGCAACCGCCCACCTGCCCTTGACAACAAAGTAAACCTTACGTCATAGGTACACTATACCCCACCTCACACATGTTCTACACCATTCCGCCAAGTTTCGTATACATCATTCTCAGGTGACTTTCAACCACCACTCTGACAACCTCCAGATGAGTGGACAATCACGTTTTGGCTCGAATAAACTCGTGGATATGGCATCATTTTCCCCTATTTCCCTGCTATACGTATCCCCCGCCATAGAGTAGATCCTGCCGTCAAGAGTCGGACTAAAAGCTAGGTCGAGAGCTTGTTCCTGTTTCCGGTCGACTAAGCACATGGTTGACTGCCCGTCTTGGAAGCTCGAAAGCTCCCTCCATATTCAAAGGATCAGGAACTCGGGGTTTGCAGAGAACGCTAATGGAATACAGACAGAAAGCTACGCTGTGCTAGCCCCGGATTCAATATCTTGGCGGCCTGAGGAGGATTTATCATCAGTGTACACGAGGCGAATGTTGCTTCCTACAGATCATCACTCGTCAATGACCTCATTCGACATAGGATCCTCCAAGTTCTTTTCCACGGGGTAATAATCGTCACCCTTGGTCTTACCATCCGAACTAGCTCCGGCTCCACGGATTACTCATGTCAACGCCTCCAACAATGACAATGGAAGTCCCAACCCACAGCCCCTCCGAGTCCCCACCACGACCGCACGCCGAGCCCCGTCTCGAGCCGGCACTGCTGTCTACCGCTGACTAAACCTTCGGAACACCCTCGCCGAGTCCAATTCTCCCACCTACCTAATTCGGAAATACCCATCCCTACCTTCAACACCAACCTCAACAACCTCCCATCTGTAAATCACGACCCAGATCTACCCGAAAAGACACACGCACAAACTAGAATCGAATCATGACCAGAGGATCTTCCTTCCGATTTCCCTCGTTTAACCCATTCCTACAGTTTTTTAACTCCCTTATTCCTCAGAAACGCAGTGAGAAAATAAAGTTCAGGCACAGCCCTGCTGGTGATCTGCATAACCTCGTTTCCAATCCGTTTCGGACCTTGCCCGAGCGGGACTCGGCCCCATGAACATGCAACCTCTTTGATGGAACCCCATTAATGAAAGGGGAAGAAAATTTCGCCCATTGTGCTGGGAGGAGGCTTTTTTTAAATTTTTTATGCGGAAAAGGGTTCTTTGTCTCGGTGGTTCCCGAGAGGGGTGAGAATGGCAGGGGCAAGAGCCTCAAGATTGGTGAGTGTTGAAAAAGATGAACGAATCCGCAGAAACAGTCACGATCGAGCTTGGACAAAGGCATTGGCGGAATTTCAAATCGTTATTGTTCCTTGCGATAGTAAATGATTCATTTCATCATTCATTCGCGGCGCCGTATGCTAAACAATCCTCCGCTGCCAAACATGAACAAAGAGTCCCGTCCCTTGTAGAAAAATCCATCGTGGCCTCAACGGCCCCGGACATATTTCCTGCCAGATCCATCGCCATGAAAAGCACATTTCATGATGTAAACTCTGGCAGTCCTCCGTTAAATATGGAAGAAAATTCCACGTCTAGGATACACAACCCTCATCCCCTACCCTCTCCCTCTCTCGTTCCCCCAACTACATCTTCATCCACTAAGACCATAAATCAGCTCCTCAAGGCGAATAGCACAGCGTACGATAACCGAGAATCTGAGGGGGGTTCTAGATGTCGGTCGGCATTCGACTCTCGCAGAATACGCTTCTTGATGGACCGGTTCGATCGTAGAGAATGCCTGTTGTGAAATCGAATGTCAAAATGGAGAATAAGAGCAAAGGAAACGCTAATGCAATATATGTTGCCTGAAAACTGGAAATTCGAAAAGTGAAAAAAAAGAAGCATATTGTAAGAAAATGGGCTCTTTGTCTTGGTTAAGGAGACGAGAAGACACTGTTGTCGGCAGATACAACAATGCTCAAGCTCCTTGGCCCTCTAGATAAGTCGAAGAGTAAAGACATGTTCGGCGGCTGGATATGTACACAAGTCTCTCAATGGAGAACTATCGACTGCAGCTAAACCGCAGAGTTGCCAGGCGCGAAATATGGGAGTCCAATTGTTCTTTGCCAGTGCGGGACCTACGCCCTCGCACCGCCTCGTCCACGCTGGGGAAGGGTCCAAGGTTTCGCGCAAATAATCTAGAGTAGAAAATGTTAGTAACCGGCAATTTAGGGACATACACATGAAAGTGGAGAACACAAACCTCTCCTTCGCTGTAAGCCCAGAAGTACACCAAAATGCCAATAACGTAGTAGAGGGCAGCGTTGGTTCCCTGGTAGATGAGGGCGGCAGCCAAAGCGGCCAGGGGCATGGTCGCCAGGCGACATTCGAGGCTTCGGTGAAGAGACGTTCCCGCGAGGAGGGGAAGAGGCCACTCGAAAGCGAACATCACGATACCCAACACAAGATTTATTACTTGCAAAATCGGGATGGGTTTCACCGCAGCATCTAAGGACAGCGTGATGAAGTCCCAGAAGATCTTGGGCCAGAAAAAGCTCTCGATCGCAGCAGCAACCTGGTCTAAACACGGGAAAAGGTCGGGTTAGCAATCAAAGGTTCACCATCCAAGAAACCCCGATCATTCCTTGAACAGGCTCGCTCCGCCAAGCAAAGCAAGGCAGAAAAGCCCTTTCCCTCCGCGGGAGATCTCCTTCGAGGGAGTAACATACAAGCTGAAGCGCTGAGGACGATAAGTCGAGCCCAGTGGTTCTTAATAAGTCTGCCCATCTTGACTGTCTAAATTTCGGGTGACGGGTAGAGAGTAAAAGATTCGGTTCGGTTCGGTTCGAATTCGAGTCGGTTCGATTCCTTGCACAGATCCGCCTAACAAGCCTCGTGTTCCCTTTCGGTTTACTTGTTTCTTTCCGTTTCTTGACCAAGCAATTGCCCACAAACAAAAGGTTCCTAGAGATTGGGATCGATCGAATGTAGGATTATTAGGAAAGACTGGTGGTTGGGTGAGGTCGTCGAGATCTGCCCTCTTTTCTGTATTATAATACTACAAGGAATAAACCGGCGGCTCTGTCGAAGAAATCCGAAAAAAGACGAATCGAAGTCGGGCGAACGCGAACAAAAGGGTGGATGGGGAAACAATAGGAGTAACTAATAAAGAGAGGAAAAAGAAAGGAAGCAGGTATCCAGACCTGGTAGGGCGAAAGCGTTGAAGAAAAGAAAGAACCAGTCGATGTTAAAAGAACCAGTCGATGTTAAAAGAACGCTATCGACAGGCTACCGGGCAGCGCTGACGAGCAAAGAAAGGAAGGGTGGGTAGAAGGAGAGAGAGAGAAAGGAGTGGGAGTGTAAGCGTTAAGTCGTAGTCCGATGGGGACGGAGAAGTCTATATTGGGGCGGGCAGATTTCGGGATCGTCAAGGATGGGGATGGGGGGAGAGAAAAGCCAAGCAACGTTAATCGTGTGGGTGCGTCTCAGGGAGGGTCCCTCAGGCTGAGACTGGGAACCTGGGGTGCCGTTATTGCCCAGTGGACAGGGCCAGGGCAGGTAGCCGATAAGGCTTGGGAGGGCGTGTCAGGTTATTTGACAGCCCTTGCTGATGGGTATCGGATGTTTCTGGGTTGAAGCTAATCCGAGGAGGTCTGGAAATCCACGTTCTGGTAATCCGATCTATGATGACAGCTGGCATCCGAGCGGCATGGGACTGAATGTGAACGCTTTTCTGGAGGTCAAGGAGGACGGCGGACAGGGCAAGTGTAGTATGCAGGAGAGCACCGAGGAGAAGAACCGAGAAAAAGTGGGACGATAGTACACCGTTGAAGTGGACTGGGCATTAACACACGATCTGAGGCAGGAGGTGTTTGACCGTGGAGAGTAGTGTGTTTAGTATTAGGAAAGGCAGCGTGTGTCGAGGGTCGAAGTGGTATGCCACTAACAGACGGGCAAGTCTTCGAGAGGGTTTGAGGCAGGTCAGATTTCACTCCTGGTCCAGGGCAGGGGGTCTGACGGTTCTTCGTCGTTGCATTAAAGGGGAGGTATGAAGATCAGACAGGACCGTTGCTATGTGAGGATATGAAGCAGGAGGTGGTCGACCACGGGCGAGAGCGGCGACACTCCTAGTTTTAAGAACAGACTCTGGGCCGGGGGGTGTGGTCGGGACCGAAGAAGCATGAGGCGTGCCGCCAGCCATGGAATGGGGACCAAGTGGGAGACCCCGTCGAAGAAAAAAAAAAGGGTATGCGGGAACCCTTGCAGATAGGCCGATTCCCTGTAGGAATGGTGCTTCTTGGGTCTTGGAAGGGTACGAGCGAAGCATGGCAAATCTTATCGGGCGCCTACGGACTATTTGACCATTTGTTCTTGCATTTTGATTGAGCATTTTTGACCAAGTCTCTGGGCTCCGTGGGCTGGGGAAAGAACGAAGGAAGCAATATTGGAGCGGCTCCCCGGCTTCGTCACTCATCGTCACTCACTGCTTTGGGCGAATCCGGCACGTCGTAGGAGGGGGTGCAGGGGCTGGGCGGTTAGAGAAAGAGCAGGGGCCAATCACACCCCTCGACTCTTCTTGGCAGCAACCGAGTTCCACTATGCAGTCACAGAAAGTATCAATTGATGTACGTACTTACACTAATACTTCGTACTTACACCACTTCGTATGCGGTGACGGTGTGCATGCATTTGACTGTCGTACTTACTCTGTTCTGCTAGCACCGTCACTGTGACTGCGTGTGCTTCTCGTGCTTCTCGTGCCTCTCGTACTTGCCCGAAAGCGGTGCTTGGTACCACCCTACCTCCCAGTCAACGCTCGCCTCCGCAACTTAAAATTTGAATAGGTACAGGTACTTGATATCCAGCCAAGAAGATGTGATCCTCGCGGTGCCTTTACCTCGAGCCGATCTGCGAATCTTCAAGCCATCACAGGTACCAGTGCCATTTCAGCCAACCTTGGGGCTTGAGAGCATCATGACATGGTGTAATTCTTGATTCCACAGCAGTCACATCCTGTGCTTGTCTGTGTCTGTCCTATTAAATCAATCTACTCATACTAGTGAATTCAATCCAAGTGGTTCTTGAAGATCCCTGGTGAACATGCTCGTCCGACGCCAAGAACAACGCATCAATCACCAGGATGGCGGAGTGTGCCAAAAAGCCATGGCTCGGACTGCAGGCAGGGATTTGATTGATCCGCTTCCCGAGATCAATGTCCAACAATTAAAGTACATTTGGTTATGTAATCCGGGCTTTCCCTTGACTCAATTTTCTGTTCTTTTCTTAGAATCAAATTGATGCCAACTGCATCTCCAATCTTGGCAGTCAACCAGACGACTCCAGCGAAGACTCTTCCATGCCAAAGAACAATCTAAAAAATTGGAAAATTTCACCGAGAAAATCGTAAATATTTCACATACGTCTAATTCAATACCTCCAACTTGAATTCACGGGCAAAATCAAGGTTTTTCCATGCTCATGCCATCCCATAATGTGAGACTCCGAGATCTCCACGATGAAGCAAAAGGTGTTTGAGAAGAGACCCGCTCGGAGGATACTAATGCGCCACCAAGACCCATCTTCGTCCCAGGACACCCCTTCGTCCCTTATGCTCGCTCAGCCATCAACAAATCCCATTTTGGCCAGGAATGGGCAGGAACGAGCATTCTACCGTACCTGCGTGTGTCACGGATGAGTTGGGACTATATATCGTCCAGCCCTTGCTTCGGAACAGCCATCGACCGAAGCACTGGCTTCCATCTCGATTCCCCAGGAGAGTGCCACGAGACGAGAGAAAAGAAAAATGCTACCCAACTCCCTAGGTTGAGATAATAATGTGTGGTTCGCAATCCCGGCGATGTCAAAGCTTCTGTCCCATCAAATACGAAGCAGTATATCGGACCATCTACGCCTGTTCACTCCGTACTTTTGTCATACTTGAGGATGCTTTCTCCGGTCGCGCTTGCGGCCTGGAAGCCCGAACGGAGTTGGGTCAGACGAGGATCTCCCGGGCCGCGAGTTGGCGCCCTTTCTTGTGTCTGACACTAAAAAGTGGCACGAGATTGTTCCTCGTTCTGACACAAGGCCAGGAGATCCTCTCAAAGACCGCTTTCGCGGCGAGGAAAATAGGCCCTTCCTCCCACAACGGTGTCTCTGAGTGGTGTCTCCATGAGACCATCCACGATGGCCTCGAGCGCTTGAGTAGGGATGAAGTGTCACAGGCGCTTTTCTACTGGATGAGGATGGGAAGCCGTCTTCTTGATCGGGGACGACGAGAGTCTCCCGTCCTTAGTCTCCATGTTTAAGGACATGAGGCTATTGAATTGCGTTCATACAATAAACGTACAATAGCCTGCAGCCCACCAAAAAAGGCAATGAGTGACTGCCGATGGTCCTGTGCATTTGATTTGATGGTCATTCATTTGACAGATTCTTCATCGCGTTGGTAGGGTTCGGCTATCTCTCCCGCTCACTAAGAACATTAACGGAATTGATCAACAAATGACTACTTCGTACTTCGTTCAACAAAGTACTAATGTACTTCTCGTCCTTGGTTCACGAGGGCACAATGCAAGGGAATTCTCTACCGTTTGCACGTTTGCACGTATTCCGCTGTGTCCTTGAGCACACTAATGTACGGCACCGCCTGGACGCCGGATATGTTGGCCCAGGCCAGCCCCGCCCCGACCCCGGCGAGACCCAATATCGGCGGCTGTACGCAGCCTCTGATTGGCTTTCCTCCAGAACCATCATTGATGGCAACATGACAATGGCAACACTTCCAACTCCTCATCCTCGGAATGGTCCCAGCCACCGAATCCAAACGGATCAAGATTCTTCACCAGCCTATCCCTCAACTCTCAGCTGTCCGATTCGAAAAGGACGAGGCCACTTACTGAGACCTACACTGATCTCGAGCCTTGCACACCGAACATGGTTGTCATGCGAAACACTAGCAGGAAGGGAAAAGTTCCAGCCCCCCCTTCTCCCTTACATTCCGCGGTGAGGTCTCCCTTCCTTCAATCCATCCGAGATCAGCCTCGAGGATAGACTACGTAGCCCCTAGCTAGCTAATGGTGGTGTGCTAAGCAAATAAAACCTGCAAGCGGAGGCTGGTTGACGTGCTCTCTTGGCAGTTCGCCTATTATTCATGCCTCCATGACGTCGTACCACGATTCACTGAATGCCGTTAGCGGTGGTGATTGCCCATCATCAATATCACACCGACCCCTTGCTAGCTCGATCCTTACCGAAGGCCCGTGTGATTGAAAAGCCTCACCCTCAATGGCATCGTACTTCGTAATCGTCCAAACGTGTTTGGTGGCTCTCTCGCCGTTGCTCCTTGCTTTCTTCCGCCACAGTTAATCATTTTGATTCGAGAGGATATCAGCCACTAGATGCTATAATTTCGCCTTGAGCTACCCTCGACAAGCAAGGGAAAATAGGAAAAAATGGCAATATCTCAAACTTCCTCCGATTCACAAAGACACGCCTTGCTTGGAGTGCTCCGCCACCTCCTACCCCATCCGTCACGCAGCGTAGACAACAATCAATTGACCTGACGTCAATTGATCCGAATTACCTTTCAACTCCTAGGAGGGGCAGCCCAGGGATTGATTGAAATATCCAACATGTGATTCCCTCTCCATGCTCTTCGGCGAGCCTAACCTCGCTCACTATGGTAGGGATCTGCTCCTTCGTAATCCTACCAAACTCAGGGAATATGGTCTACACAATTAAGTTGGTGGTGGTGATAGGGGACACTCTCGATATGGGCATATCGCTGCAGATTTTCGCTTCCCATTGACTCCTTGATCGCACTAAGATAGAATGAACGGATCTAGCATTGTAAGCAAGTACGCCTTTATCCCTCTTTACTAGTAAATGGGTATCAATGAATGAATGACTTAAAACACAACTCCTGAAGCTCAGCTGTTCCAACACCTCCCACCGTCTATTCCAGGCGAGACGGCCTTTAACCCTTTTCTCGTCAGTGACAAACACCGGCCTTGTTCGAAACGGAGAAGACCCCCCTTCCAACCCGAACAGGTATCAGTACGAAGAAGTGCAAGGCCCAAAGGCCTTACGAACTCGTGAAAGCAGCCCAGCCTCACATGCTGTTCATGTAAAAATACTCTTGATCCCAGATAACACCATTCCCTTCCTTCGACTCGTTCCCTTCGGCACCTTGGACCATCCTTTCGATTCCCGCTTCTCAATCTCTCTCGGTTGTTTCTCTGGTTGCTGGTTTTCTTTTTCTGGCAGCTCTGGCGACGGCTTGGGCAAAGGCCAAGCCGGGATAGACGAGTCCTCTGTCTCCGCTGCCCCCTTCTCGAAGATAGAGGAGCCTGGGACGCTGTGGGTAGCGAGCAGCTCCTGTCTACGAAGCTCTGGCCGAATTGCGCCGACGTCGCAGGGGCGGCCGTCGGACAGGTTGTGGAGGTGATCATTCGGAGACAGATGGCTGTCAATAACGTCTGGTGTCCTCGCCTCGTTCTCGTCTTGGATCATTGGCAATCCAGCGTCCTCACCAAATGTTAACTTCCACTCGATCGGACTATCGGGCTCGTTGTGCGAGGCGTTCCCACTGCCCTCATCACCTTCCCCAGCGTCTGTATCCGCAGAAGTCTTAGGCAGACTTGTGAGGCTGCCCGGCCGGCGACTAAAGGAACTAGCGATACTCGCGACACTCAACTTTCGCATTACAGACGAGGCAGACGACCGCACAAGATGCTCGCTTCTTGACCTTGTGGTCATCCCGGGGAAAGGAAGGATATCACGGCTCCACACGTCCACCAGAAGAGCCTCGATTCTGGCTCTCTCTCCGCGCGACGGTGCTAAGATAGGAATTCGATGATGTGTTGTAAGCAGCGACTGGGAGCGATTCATTGATGCAGTCGCCGCTGCGTGTGATGTGTCTTTTACCACGCAGGTATTTTTCAGGATAACCTGGCACAGTGATGACTTTGGATTGATTGTCGTAGCTCTGTGAATTGAAAGGCGCCGAGCCACAGTTCCTGTATCCAGGAGGCACTCGTTAGTTACTATCTTCGGAACAAGGTTCCATCATCAACTTCGAGGGGTGTCACGGAGAAGGACTGCTCAGCATAAGAGATGTTTTCCGCTACACACTTACCTGGCTTGCCGAAAACGGTGCCCAATGGCTTTATATCGAGGGAAAGCCAGCTGAACCAGTTGGGCTCTTTTTGGATTGCCCGGTCGAAGGAGGGGCTTGCTAACCTGCACCTCCATTCCAACTCCTCTTTTGCTGTGCACGCTGTCATCATCACCTCATACAGCTGGCAATCACATTCGAAGACGACCTTCCAAGAATATGGAGCCGTGTGGCATTGTAAGCCTGAGATCAATCGAAATGTCAGTAGTCGGCTTAGAAAGATATCCAGGGCACGGAAGCCCGCCAGACGCTGACCAACCTCTTCCGTTATCAACCTCCTCCACTTTTAGGGATGCTAGTCCGACGCAGAGCTGTATATTGTAAATCTGATCCGCCTTGCCAGCGGAAGCCAGACACAGAACGTCCGGGTATAGAAGGCAGACCATGTATCGGCCCTGCACCCCCTCCTTCGAGGACCAGCATACATGGAGAGCTCCACAAAGTTTGATATGTCCAAAGGAGCGGATTCGGTTTTTGGAGGCAGCATCAAGTCTCTGAATCATAATCAGACCCTCTCCATCTATCTCGGTAAAGTTACGAGCAAAACAAAGGGAGTAAAACGAGAAGAAATTTCGTAATATCTCACATACCTGGTTAGAGAAGACAAGGCGATCCTGCAGAGTCCACGTTTTCTCTAGGATAGACTTCATCCTCACATCATCAGTAGCTCGGTTGATCTCTGCTGTCGCTTCACGAAGCCGAATCAATGTGTTCTCAACCTCCATATGTGAATTCGCGCAGTCGTCCACGGTGGTGTACTTCAAAAGCTCCGCAAACAGTAGAGGGTACCGGCAGACCCTTTGAATTGGCTAGTGTTGTGACAAGGTTAGCCCACAAAATCAAACCCACAGAACATGAAAACTAGAGTGTCTTTTTGGGTGGAAAGTGCCTCACCTTCATGAGAAGATCTGCAATGGTGAGAGCCTTCTTCGCACGATCTAATTGGGTTTGTTTTGAACCAAGGGATGTGGCTAGAATTTCAACGCCTCGTTGGTAGTTCTCCCACTCCGGCATGGTGCGGTGCATCGAGTTTATATCTTTGATCATCATTTCGTACTTGGCCCCATATTCCTTATATATGAAGAAACGATTCATCTATAAGTTCAGTGAGCTCTCTGAATCTGCGCAGAACACCCTCTGAGGCGACTATAAGAAACATCTTACCCTTTTCCCGAATACTTTGGCAACTTCTTCGGCAACCTGGGCATCGGCGACCATTCCCGGAACACGCTGTAGCCAGGACATATGCCCAACATTCTCGGGGACAGAGTCTAGGCTCTTCCAACGCTGATGTGCCCTGGGCTGGAGACGTTCTGGCGGCTTGGGAACTTCCAGCTGAGTATATTCCGAGTTAGGGACAACTCTATGGAGTTCTCCAAGGATATCCTCGTGAAGCTCAACAATGTCGGTAAGGTTACGATTGATCGAAGATCTAAGGCCTGCTGATATTGCGGGTAAAGAGGCAAAGGTAGTCATATAAACCTAGTCTCGCCCAGATTAGTTCGAGTGGGGAATGCGAGATTAGGAAGAAAGAAAGGGCCGACTTACATTGATCAAAAAACGCACGTCTCCAATATAGTTTTCCTCGGTTGCGATAAGTTCTTCTAGTATGCTCCGACGCTGTATCGAGCGACTGATCCCAGCCTTATCCATTGCACCCAAAACGACGTTATTATGCGTGCTATCCTCTGAGAACCGAGGAGGTGCTGCGGAAAGCCGACTGCTCCGGTCGGTCCTTGATCGAGAATGCATGGTGCCTGGGCGGCTCCTCGTGTTTGTGGTGACGCTTCCAATACCAATACTAGCACTTTTCACGGCCGATACAAAGGCAAATGAGGAACCAGATGAAGATTTCGAATGGATGTGGAAGCCGTCTTCAAACCCATTGGTGGCCGTGTGTCGCGAGTGCCCGAACCTTCTGGACCGGTGGCTAGCACGTCGATGAAGTGAGTCGATCCACTTTTGGAAAGGGCCCCTCTGCTCTAAAGAGCACGCTCCAGGGTGATCGGAAGTTGTAGAAAGAGGTAGTAATAGGGGTTCATTGGGAGAGTGTCTGGGAGACGATGAAGCAGCTGATGATGGGGAAGATGAAAGAGTACTATCGTCAATTGTGATCTGGGGGATAGGGCCCGGATCGTCTGTGGTGTTAAGCTCCCCGGTGAGGGTGTGCAGGAGGGAAGCAATCCCGGCCCATTCCGTCCATGTTTCAGCAATAGGTGTCGAGGGTCTCTCCGGATTATCCACAATCTGGAGCACTGCAGTACTTCTATCACTGGGGTGACTCGATGGCGTGACCGGGTTTTCGCAGCTTGGCCTCTGGGTTGCAGTCATAAAGCTTCCGTCGGAGCTGGAGAGAGGCGACTCAGGGCTACTAGGAAGCGTCACGGCGAGGGCCATTGTGGAATCTTAGACGACAGCCAATGCACAAGCGGACTGAGTATGGTTGGACGAAGAGTAAGATAAGACTTAGACCATCTCGAGCCAAACAATAGGGTAAGCAGGGATCAATCGATAGAGGGCAATACGCACAGAAGCTCGCTACGAGCCTGTGTAATGCTGAAAACAGGGCTATACGCTGCTTGACGAAGGTAGATGTAAACTGGATAGGCCGATGCATAAACCAACGTTGTATGAGAGGATAAGCGCGAGGGAAGTGAGGAAGTGGAGGGTGATGAATTGGGGGCCCGGGATTCGATCAATGATTATTGTTTCTTTTGGATCCTTGAGGAAAAGATGCAGCCAGAGCTCCCACTGTTGAGGCTTGACGCCGTACTCTGCAGTTCTCTAAAATAACTCCAGGAGCTCCCTGGATCTGTTTCTCGTTCGTAACTTCCTGTGTGGGGTTCGGGGAGTACTTGGTATAAGGAGGGAAGTCGCAGGAAGTCGCAGTTGGGAGCGGTACTTCGAGGCGTGAGCTGCAACCAGGGACAACTCATCACGGCAGTCGCAACTGTCCCATCTCTCTTCTCTATAGAGGCCGTGAGCCTTCGCGACAATGTACTACCTCCAAGTAGGCCGGCGGCGGCGCCGGCGGCTGGGGCGGAGCCTGCGCAACTCCCTGAGTTCGAATGCCCTGTATCCTCTTCTGTTCGGCGAAGGAGGGGGACGCGATATCCCGTTCCACAGATCTGCCGTACCTCGTCCCACAAAGCGTGGCTTCCAACCAGATCAGAGTGCCTTATGTTGATGATCGGGCGCAGCTGTAGATACCTTGGGCTCACAGGGCGAAGGACTTCAGGCCAAAGGACATATGGCAGCCAATCCTGTCGGTCGTGGGGGTTATGGACGAAAGGGATGTGGTTACAAGACAGAAGTTTAAACAGCAGTAATGGTCGTTGTCATTGTTGGCATCGTAGTCATGATCGTCGTGGCAATGGATTCTCGTCGTCGTCATCGGAATACATTGATACCGTGAAACAACCTCGCGGCCTGCGCAACTGGCAATTAGAAATGTGCTAGAATGAGGGCATGGTGATTCACACCGAGGTAGTAGTCGGGAGCTGGTTTATACGTTTTCTAGATGGCCTCAATTTCGGCACTAGATTATGGTGCCGTCGCAAGCGGCCAGGTACGGAAACCAAAGTACTAAAGGTCTCGTCTATTCTCACTCACGAATAATGTTAATGTTTGCCACGTCTGCTATGTCGAACCAAGACAAAAAACAGCGAGTGCCGGACCTCATAGCCCGGAACAAGAACCGCTTGTCCGAGTTCGCGACGTCTGGCCATGGAGGGGGCCGAAGACATCGGACTAGATCTAGTTGGATTAGGAGTTGCCTTAGCCATCACACCTCAGGTCCGGTTACCTTCTACGTTGGAATGTGTGGATAGGGCCAGCTTCGGCGACTAACTTAAGACTAGATCAAGCTTTCGAGGGAATAATCATGGGATAGTTTCCTCGATAACAGGCATGGAAAACCCAAAAACAATCCATGGAACACAGATCATAGAAAATCAATGTCTCAAAGGCTGGTCCTGGCCGCCGCTAAAGTCCGGACCTCCGCGCAGACTCAAGCAAGCTGGGCCTGATTTCTCGATATTGCCGCCCACCAAGCCATGGCCGACTCGACATCTCCTCATCCGATGACGAATTCATAACCGCCGAACTGATCCGAGAAACCCGCCATTTTCCATTTCCCCTGCATGTTGCCGGTTGAGATCTGAGCTCGCGCCGAGCGGACGGAAAGGGGGTTGGTGCAGATGAGTCCTTGGTTGCTGAAAACAGTTACGAGGAATTCAAAAGGATTAACTTCAATCTATCCCCTGGGCAATAAATTGCTGGAGCTTCCACTCGCCGAGCTAGGCAGTGAATACGATTGGCCGAGGTTTGGGGAGCTCGATTCCCTGGAAACAGGAGGAGAGGAGAGGGACATGGAACAGAGGGGCAAAGGAAAAACTGAGTTGCGTATCACAGCATCGGGTGGGCCGAGTAGCACGAAACAACATTCTTCGCATCATCCAAGATCGGAACATGCGGTTAAAACATATTCCCCATGCCTTCAGAGGAATCATATGGGAATGTTGTGGCACACTAGCCCAGCTCTCACGGGCAACATGAGACATGGGGTTAGTCCGGTGAAGATAGCGTTCGAAGTAAACTATGACTGCGAAATCGAGCTTGTGACCACCATCAATTGATGGATATTCTCGGGCCGTGCTATTATTTTAATGTACGCAACCTCTTGAGATTTGGTCTGGGTCTGACACACTAGAGTTTTGCTGCCGAAATCCCAAATGCCCAAGATCTTGCAGCGGACCGATCAATCAATGCTCTACGAAGTACGAAGTAGAGGGTTAAAACTGCTGTCCTGGGATCTCTTGGCCTTATTTCGGCTATCTCACTGGCCGGCCGAACCTTCCGTTTCATTCGAGACAGCGGAACGTGGTTTCCAAGTTGGAATGTGATTCGAGTTCGGAGCAATTCCGATTAGTAATCACTCTCTTTTGCCCCCCATGGGGCGACTTGCTCCAGCTAAACTTAGGACTTGCTCGGAGACATTTTGGCAGGCACAGGCAGGCGGTGAGAGTCGCCGATCGAATTTTGCCTGGCAGAATATTCAATGGCCTTCCGGTTTTGGAAGTCATCGATTGGCTTGTAGTTAAACGACACGTACACTTTTTCTTGAGACTTCTTCAAAGGGTCCAAACGCCACCAGAACCACATCGTCGGCATCCAACTAGTTTCTCTCATAAGCGTAGGATTGGAAAAGGAGAAGTTGTCAGGGACGCCCTTTACTTGTCCCTATTTCTTTCTTTTCTCTTCCAAATTTCTCTCTTTTTTAGTATCTTTCTGAACTTCGACGTCTCTCGTCCTCTCATCAACACCGCCCAGGTTTCAGCCGTCACCGTTCATTCCGCAGAGGTACATCGCTACCCTTGACCGCGCCCCAATCCCCCACTTGTCTTGTCGACCTCTACACTCAGCCTTGATCCTGGGGTCTTACTCGAGGGTTAGAAAAAAAAAAAGGCGTGGAGCCTTATATTTATCCCATTTACAACAAGTCGTAATCGCTGGGGTTGCTTACGATTCGGTTCAGCTCAAGCTTATCGTCGAATTGACCAGGGCGCATCTCCTGGCGCGGTACTCTTCCCTTTAACCATGGAGGCCGCATACGCGCAACCCACCAAGCATGTTATTAAGGCCTTCAACTCTGATGCTACAAACGGATTGACCGATGAACAAGTTGTTTCCCTACGCGCGAAGCATGGAAGGAATTGTACGTCTTCCGCCCCGGCCTCTCACGAAGTTCCCCCTGGCAAATCTTGAAAATCACTGCTAATGCTGGCGTAGCCATTCCCGAGGAGCCTCCCACACCACTGTGGGAGCTTATTCTTGAGCAGTTCAAGGACCAACTTGTTCTGATTCTTCTCGGCTCTGCCGCAGTCTCCTTCGGCCTCGCACTATTCGAGGAAGAAGAAGGCTGGAGCGCATTCGTTGATCCCGTCGTGGTACGTTGTCGCCTAAGCGTTTGCGCATTCCCCAGCCGATGTCGCATTCAATGAGTTTTGCTCTAACATCCCCTCGTGCCCTAGATTCTGACCATCTTAATCCTCAATGCCGTTGTCGGAGTTTCCCAAGAAAGCAGCGCCGAAAAAGCCATCGCCGCCCTCCAGGAATATTCTGCAAACGAAGCCAATGTTGTGAGGAATGGCGGCCACATCTCTCGTGTCAAGGCCGAGGAGCTTGTCCCTGGCGATATAATTTCCGTGTCTGTTGGTGACCGCATCCCTGCCGACTGTCGTCTTGTGGCAATCGAGAGCAATAGCTTTGCGGTTGACCAGGCAATCCTCACCGGCGAAAGCGAGAGTGTTGGCAAGGATGATGCCGCCGTGGTTGGCGATGAGAAGGCTGTTCTTCAGGACCAGGTCAACATGCTGTTCTCAGGAACAACCGTGGTCACTGGCCGAGCCAAAGCAGTAGTTGTTCTCACCGGTTCTTCCACCTCCATCGGCGGTATCCAAGAGAGCATCACCGCGCAAATCTCGGAACCTACCCCCTTGAAGCAGAAGTTGAACGACTTCGGTGACAGTCTCGCCAAGGTGATTACTGTGATCTGTATTCTTGTCTGGCTCATCAACATTCCCCACTTCAGCGACCCCACTCATGGAAACTGGACCAAGGGCGCCATCTACTATCTCAAGATCGCAGTTTCGCTCGGTGTCGCCGCGATCCCCGAAGGTCTTGCCGTTGTTATTACGACATGCCTTGCCCTTGGTACTCGAAAGATGGCGGCCAAGAATGCGGTCGTCCGCAGCCTTCCTTCTGTGGAAACTTTGGGAAGCTGCAGCGTCATCTGCTCTGATAAGACTGGCACCCTTACCACCAACCAGATGAGCGTTAACAAGGTTGTCTATATCGATGAGTCCGGCGCAAGTCTTCAGGAACTTGATGTTGAGGGTTCGACTTTCGCTCCACGAGGTGTCGTCAAGTTCGACGGACAAACCGTCCAAGACATCACCCAAACTTCGGCCACGGTTCGACAGATTGCCGAGGTCGCCGCGCTCTGCAACGACTCTCATCTTGCCTATGACGCACGTACTGGCAGCTTTAACCTTATCGGCGAACCTACTGAGGGTGCGTTGAGGGTTCTCGCCGAGAAGCTTGGTCCTTGCGCCCCCGCCGACTGTCCCCCTGAGGATTGCGTTCATTATGCTAGTGCTTGGTACGAGAAGCAGTACCCTCGTCTCGCCACGTATGAATTCTCGAGGGACCGGAAGAGCATGTCCGTCTTGGTTAATGATCACGCCCAGAAGAGGCTTCTTGTCAAGGGAGCTCCTGAGACTATCATTGAGAGGTGCACGCACGCCTTGATCGGATCGCAGGGAAAGAAGGTTGCTCTCAACAAGAAGCTCGCCGATATTCTCTTGACGGAAGTTGTCGAATATGGTAACCGGGGTCTCCGTGTCATTGCCTTGGCAAGCGTCGACGATATCGGTTCTCACCCTCTCTTGGAATCGGCTTCTTCAACCGCTCACTACGCTCAGATCGAACAGAACCTTACCTTCGTCGGTCTTGTTGGCATGTTGGACCCCCCTCGGCCTGAAGTTTCCGGCTCTATTTCGAAGTGTAAGGAGGCCGGCATCCGCGTCATTGTCATCACCGGCGACAATCGCAACACTGCGGAGAGCATCTGCCGAAAGATCGGCGTCTTTGGTGACCTCGAGGATCTGCGTGGAAAGAGCTATACTGGTAAAGAATTCGATAATATGAGCCCGGCCGAGCAGCTCGACGCGGCTAAAACTGCCTCTCTCTTCTCCCGTGTTGAACCTGGCCACAAGTCTAAGCTGGTTGATCTCCTTCAATCTCTCGGCGAAGTTGTAGCTATGACTGGTGACGGCGTGAACGATGCCCCTGCCTTGAAGAAGGCGGATATTGGTATTGCCATGGGCTCTGGCACTGACGTCTCGAAGCTGGCCGCCGACATGGTGCTTGCCGATGATAACTTCGCTACTATCGAGGTTGCCATTGAGGAAGGTCGATCTATCTACAACAACACCCAGCAGTTCATCCGCTACCTCATCTCCTCTAACATTGGTGAGGTTGTCTCTATTTTCCTTACCGCCGCTTTGGGCATGCCCGAGGCTTTGATTCCCGTTCAGCTCCTCTGGGTCAACCTGGTCACCGATGGTCTCCCCGCCACCGCTTTGTCGTTCAACCCTCCGGACCACGACGTCATGCGCCGCCGGCCTCGTCGACGTGACGAGGCTTTGATTGGGGGATGGCTCTTCTTCCGGTACTTGGTTATTGGCACCTACGTCGGCCTCGCGACCGTCGCGGGTTATGCTTGGTGGTTCATGTACAATACCGACGGTCCTCAAATCTCCCTCTCCCACCTCAGCCGATTCCACCGCTGCTCCACCGATTTCCCCGAGATTGGATGTGCCATGTTCACCAATGACATGGCCAAATCTGCCTCGACGGTCTCGCTCTCTATCCTCGTTGTCATCGAGATGTTCAACGCCATGAACGCTCTGTCCTCGAGCGAGTCGCTTCTTACTCTGCCTCTCTGGGAGAACATGATGCTTGTCTATGCCATCGCCCTGTCCATGGCCCTGCATTTCGCTCTTCTCTACACCCCAGGACTTCAAACCCTTTTCTCCATTCTCCCTCTTGATTGGAATGAGTGGAAGGCTGTCGTGGTTATCAGTGCTCCTGTTATGTAAGTTCAAAACGCCCCCAAATGCATGCACACGTGAAATTTTTGCTGACTCCCTGCGCTTAGCCTGATTGATGAGATCCTCAAGTTTATTGAGAGGCAATTCTTTCTTCAAAAGACAGCAGAAGACTCGATCTTGGAGAAGAAGAGCAAGTGAAGAGAAGGAGCGGGGATTGGAAGGAAACAATAGAGAAATGCCATCATTCGAAAAACACGAAGGTCATTTGATGGCTGTAAGTAACGAATGCCCACAGATGCAATCAGGCGCAAGCCGAAGCGTGCGAGGCACCTATTTGCATCATATACTGTAGATGTATCATAATTTCTCAGACTCTGTAACGGTGTTCTAGAAGCATAGGCGGCGGTATTTTGCAAGAAAAGAGCAATCAACACATGTCATGTCTGTACTTTCAGCTTTCGCCATCAGTGAAGCCTACATCTGCCCTAGATGGGGGTTGCCTTCAGATCAGTGGCCCTCTCAGTCGGCACGACTCTCGATGGTGACCCGGGGAGGGGATACCTGAGAGCTACAGGGACCGAGTGCGATAGCGTGACAAAATTGATGTCTATTGATACATGGTATACGCCCTTAACCTATTAACGGTCCAAAACCTATACCCGATATAACCCACTTCCCGCATCCAAAAGGACTCTAATCCTGCCTGCCCTTGAGTAACCTCTTCGTCACCTTGTCCTTCTCGATGATGTAGACATGTGCACCCCAGCCGGAAAGCGCGTCACGGTCGACAGCGTTCAGCAGGGCTTGCGAAATGGTTTCGAACAATTCATTAGGGCCCTATTCAGATTACCACGTGTTAGCATTGAGGAGCTCCCTAATTTCTTCAACCTAGTCCATCTCCAAAGCCGAAAAGTATATTTGATGAAACAAGAGTAATATTAAAGATGAAGGGAGGGAAGAAACGTACCAAGTCCGGCTCCCAGAGGTTCTCACACATTCCAAACAACTGCTCAGTCGCCGTTCCCGAAACAATAAAGTCCTTCGCAAAGTCGATACAGCCTATGCTGTCAAACCCACAAATAAACGGCTTCCCCGTCTTGGGATCGAGGCCCGCGACGACGGGGCTGACGAACCAGGGGCCGAAGCGGCGCTCGTAGAGGCTGCTGCTGACGAGATTGGCGAAGGTGGAGGGGGCGATGTTGCGCTCCTCGCGGAGGCGGTAGAGGTTGACTTTGTAGCGGAAGAGGTCGGAGACGGTGGAGACGTCGGTCGCCAGGCCGGTGAGGCCGAGGAATACGTCGCCGTATTGGAAGATCTTGGGGAAGTTGTTGGATACGGTGAGGGCTTGGAGGCCGAGGCGGAGATCGCAGGCGATGGCCACGCAGTCTTTGCCGACCATTGCCACGCAGGCACCGCCGTCTGTGAGAGGGAGGAAGAGATAGCTGTTAGATTTTGGGGGGCTAGTGAGGAAGAGGGTTCGGTTCGTGATGCGGGAACGTACTTATGGAGAAGGGGGAAGACTATGGATTGAGGTTAGCTTAGGATGTCCGTCTTCGCAAGTTGGGAATCAGGAAAGGTGGAAGGAACTATACCATATTAGCTTCAGTGGATATCAATTAATCGACTGTGTCGTTCTAAGTTAAAGAGAGATCGCCAAGGAAGGGTATCGAGAAGCTGTGGGCGCGGGCAGATATGGAGCAGCTTCGTCGTTGATGCTTAGATTCGGAGGTGGATTCGAGAGATGGGCAAGGTTACCACATCAAGCTGGGCCAGTTCAGTTGCTAAGCTACGCAGCGCCAGACGCCAGGCTGGAGCGCTGAGGTGTGCAATGCAAGGCAAACACGGTCTGGCGTGGCCAGCTCGGAACGGAAAAACATGGCACGGGAAATACATTAGTTGATTGGTCCGAGCTTGGTTTCAATGCCTTCATAGACCCCACACAATGTCAAGGCAACTTCGGAGAGCTTTCAGCGACGATAAAGTCTCTAGTACCTATATCTCTTACAGATCAATATACATTCAAAGGTCTCTAGTACCTAACTCCTTTCGCCTCTTGCCCCGCCATTTGTTGGTTCATCAGCCTCCATCATCACAGAGCAGGAGACACTGACAAAACACATCTTGGAGGGGAGAAGAGCTGGGCAAACACAGTATTTTCTTCATGCTCCCTGATGTTCTTTAAGATTCTCCTCATCTAACTTCCCCTCCCCGATCTATCTTGTATGTGGTGAAACGCTATCCTCGCCACTGCTGCCTCCTTAGAATCTATTGTCCATCGCACACGCCCTTTGACAAGAGTCACCACCATTCCCCTTCAAAGCTCCTCCATTCCTAGCCTCAAAGCAATCCCATACATATAGCCACAGATTTCGCCCTCTGCCCCCGGACTGCCCCCCGATCACAGACTCTATTACAGTCTATCCAGCCTCGCTGGCCCTACCCAAGATGTCGTCCCATGTGGTGGTCACATCGTCCTCTGCAAGGTCAACAAAAGTCAAGGTTTCGCCAGGGACCTACATGTCCGATGTACTAACCCAGGCCTGCCAAGCTTTGAACCTGTCGGGCAACTACATCCTCAAGTAAGTCAAGACATCAGCACGTAAAGAATCTATGAAGGCATGAGGCTCCTGTCTCTAACGAACTCTTCCCCTCTGGCCAGACACAAGCAAAAGACCGTCGACCTTTCCGTACCCTTCCGTCTTGCCGGCCTGCCGGGCGGCGCGAAGCTCGACCTTGTCATCCAATCCAAGTCTCCTGCCCTAGTCACCGTCGCGGTCGCCATACCTGCGCCTGAAGGCAATGCGTTCCCCAACGGACGCCTCGGCGGCAAGTTCCCCAGCAACTTCACGGTCTGGCAGATCCTTCGACAGATCGAAGACCTGCCTGAAGCCGTAAACGCGAGACTCAATATCACGGCGCGAGGTGTGGCGGCCACGAACGCCGGCCAACCGAGCGGCAGTGGACAGCTACTCTACGAGCAGCCGACTCTCAATATTATGGGGAGAGAGCTGGGTAGTTTCCAGGATTTCCAAAAGACGCTATCTCAGATCGGATACAACTCCGGAAGTGTTCTGATACGCTTGTCGTATAAGATCACGGACATGACATTTTTCGATGCCCAAAACCAGATCGCACAGTACTTCAAGGCTCTCGAGCTAGCGAAGCCAGAGACTTCTTCAGCCTCTAAGTCAACTTCCGAAGAGGCGTCGCCTACTCCCGTCGCCACCCCAGCTTCGGCTGAGAGCTCTGAGAAGGACTCCTCGGTTACCCAGGAGCAGGGTGCTGCAGATGCCGTCCCTCCTCACCGAGTGGCGCCTGTGATCGAACACCCAGCTGCCCCCAGCGATCCGCTGCAACCTGTACACATTTTCGCTGCGCCCTCCTCGTCGACGCCGGCGGCTGCCCTCACTCACCACAACGAAGCCGACTTCACCCCTTCCATCGTCCATGCCCAGATGCACCAGGCCCGGCTCAAGGAGAGCGGCAAGAACAAGCGTCTTCTGTCCAACAAGGAATTGGAAGAGCAAGCGGCGGCGGCCGAGGCTAAGCTTGCTGCCATCCAGTCCATTGAAGCCAAGGTCCGCTTCCCGGACAACACTTCTGCCAGCTGGGTCATTACAAAGGAGGAAACGGGCGCCAAGCTTTACAAGGCCGTTCGCACCGTCATGGCCGATAGGTCTCTGCCTTTTAGGCTCGCTATTCCCGGAACGCGAGAGACAATTCGTGACGATGACAGCCCCGGAAATGAGCTGATGAAGGCTTACAAGTTGACCAGTAACGTTGTTCTCAATTTCATTTGGGAAGACAGCGTCGCCGACGCCGTCCGCAGACGGCCTTTCTTGAAGGCCAGCGCTGCCCAGGCTGCTGAGCAGATTGTTGTTCCGGACCTACCAACTGTTGAGGATGAGGAGGAGCAGAAGAAGCCTCCCGCTTGGCAACAGAATAGTTCTAAGATCGTCTCTGACGTGAGCAAGCACGGTGACGAGGCTATGAAGAAGATCGGAAAGTTCTTCAAGCTCCCTGGCAAGAAGTGAAGGGCGGATAGGCCGTTGCCTCTTGTCCCCCAAACGAATTAGGGTGGTCGATTTGTCTTTCATTATTCCTTACGGAAAATTAACGATCATGCAAATGGAGTTTACGGAAACTGTTCGATGTATGGAAGCAGGATGGGAGCATAGGAGTAAATAGGTCTCTTTTAATCCGAGTCATATACACCCAGTCTTTGGCCCAAAACTCGCAGTTGTTCAATACACATTCACCGGGTATGCAAACAAAGGTCGTGTAAAGATGAAGAAACGAAACGCCGTAACTGTTAAAGAGGTTTATTCCATGGTGCTTTTGCTTTTTTGTTTTCATGAGCGACATTCGTCAAAATTCGTATGCAGCTCTGTCCGGAAACCGATGCCAAGGACCAAGATACCCGCGCCTTTTAACCATGTATAAAATTTTCATGCTCCTCCGCCCTTCCACAGTTCATACACCGGGAAACTCCCAAACCTCTTCCGATAGGGGTATATTTAGTGACCGGTGCGGCGGGACTCGGCGATGACGCGCTGGAGCTCGTCGACCTTCTTCTTGGCACGACCGAAAGTTCCGAGCTGGGAAAAGAGGATTCGTTAGTAAAGATTGAACAAGCTGGCGGTGTCGATCGTGGGTATTTGCTTACCCGCTTCTTCGCGAGCTTCCTGGCGCGCTTGTCCCTGCTGTTGCGGAGCAATTCGATAACTCGGCGCTCGTAGGGGGCGAGACTGCAAAGACAAGTAGGTTAGCATATGTAAGTTTCAACCAGAGATGAGTAGGTGCCATCCAAGATCCGAAACTAACGTCCGGGAAACATAGGCAGGCATTGAACCTGAACCCACTGCCCTCGAAGGCCCGGACACACTTTTCGATCTCCTTCCACCCACCAGTCCTTCCACCCAATAGCCCATGCACCCCAAGCGGAAAGACGGAAAAAATTAACTTACCCAGCAACCTCCTTGACGACCTCACGGACGAAGGCGGTACGCTTGCTCAAGTGACCCTTGGTCCTGGAAACACGGGGCTTGGCAACGCGGGGGGTGGTTTTCTATAAACATCCATCGACGAACTGTCAGCTGTCCATCGTCTGCATATGCTTTCCTTGGTTGGCCTTTCAGGGAGAAAGGAGAGCGCAGAGATCCTCCACGAGGTGAGACTGTGACAAACGTACATGGCCGCTGTTGATGCCGGCGGCGATGCCGCTCTTTGGGGCAGCTTCCTTCGCCATTTTGTATTGTTGATTGTCGAATTTGGCGAATTTGACGGTTTGGTGATGGAGATTTTGGCGGATGGAGGGGAGGGAGGTCAAAAAAAAAGAGGTGATTTTGTGGGCTTGGTGGGAGTTGTGTGTGGTTGCCAAGATTTCTCCCTCTGATTCGCCCAAAATTTAATCACGTGCCCAGGTACTCGACTCTAGACATTTTGATGGCAAGGTCAGTGTGAGTTACGTAATCACAAGGTTTCTGAAGTCCCTCTTGTGTCTTGCTCCCAACGAGCCGGACTCGACCACACCTCCTCGGTGCCGGTTGATGGACTCTGGGTCTGGTATGCTTGCGTATGCCCGTACTGCAAATTGCCTGGTTCATTTTGATCCTGGTGCAATGCCGTATATGTCGAGCTCGGTGAAGGCGACTCGAAATTCTACCCAACTTCCATGTGCCTATTTCTAGGACTCTTGCTGGGCGTTGCTGGCTAACCAACTTTACCCGAGATGTCTTAATCTCGAGCTCCTGCCCGGGCTGCTTGCCATGGGCATATTGCCCGTCTCCATCAAACGCTGTCCGCCAGCTAAGGTGAAACATGAAATTTAGACGGCCTGACCAATCGCAGCGGGCGGCCGTTTGAAAACCAGCTCACGAAGGATTGAAGCAAACTGGCCCCAGTGTACCCTGACCCATCTCGGGCACAGAAAACACTATGACTGCTACGTTCGATCATGATTGTTTTATCTCGCTTCTCAGGTCAGGGAGGTTATACATCTAATTCGACCGACCGAGAGCCGTCGCTGCGCCGCAGCTCCCAGTGCCGTGGGATTTCTGTATCTTGGGCTGGTACCCTGTGAGATCCCGTCACTGTGCCTCCGAGACGCGCAGACACGTTACACTCGCAGCCCTTTTCCCACTCCCTCCTTCGGCTCTATTGATGTGTCTCTCGCCATTGCTTTTATACGATCTGCAGTAATAAAACCGCAGCGGTCGAATACGAACCACCGATCCGCTGGTCCCACAGTCCCACAAAACTTTCAGGGACCTTTCTCAGCATTATAGGGCGCAGCTTCACAACTGAGCTTGATGTCCTACCCACTCAAACCCATTACGTAGAGATCGGCGCCCAAGTGCATTCCTAGGAAATGGGGCCCGCTTCCAACTCTACGCACTACATGTTGGCTATTCCTAGCATCCGTTTGCCATGCCATCTCATAGCTAAAGTCATCCAGATCTTAGGGTCTTTATAACTGCAGCGTTCCCCATCCCTTCCGTAGTCTCCGTCTTGATCCCCAAGCCCGTAGCATTTCCTCCGCAACAATATATCAACCTCTTGCATATATTCCCCAAACTTTAATTCTTAATACCTTATTTCAGTACTCCCATCCACGATGAGGTTCCAAGTCTTATACTCTGTCTGGCTCGGCCTAGCTGCCATAGCGGTTGCTAGGAACATTCCTATGCCTAAGCTGGCAAGACAGGCCAACGACTGCGATATTTCTACACATCTCCCAGCCGAATTCAGCATCTTAGACTTCAAGGGCCAATCGACCGACAGCGGTGAAACTCTCACGTCATTCAATTTTGGCTACTTAGAAAAGACGAATAACGTCACAACGCAATGCCATTTCAACTCCAGCTCGGAGAACGTCGGTCCTCCCGACAGGACTCCCAGGTTCGCCTGCGAAAACAAAATTACCAAGTTCATATACCAGGATCAGAGGATCACATTGATCCAGGCCATTTGTCCCGACGCTAACGGGTAAGCACCAATATTCTCCTCGCCTCATGATCAGCCGCTTACACTGAGATCTTACAGCGATGCCCTCGTTGAAGCGTCTGGGGCGGCTGTCGTCGAACTTGAATGTGACGACGCCGACCTGAGCACGAATTCCACTGATGGGAGCGAGCTCTGCAAGTCGAAGGAGGCAGAGTTTTCTGGGAAGTTCTTCAGTCTTAGCCCGGTACCTCCCAACCCGAATGCAGGTGCCGTATAAATAGCGCCATTTTCAAACTAGAAGCTCGGATATTGGAGACCAGTGACAACGACTTTTTGATGGGATTTCAGGTTACAATGGACAAGGAAATAGAGTATGGAAAGGCCAATTATCATAGGTAATGCGTAATGGGTATACATTTCGATGGAGGGATCAGCTTAATGGGTTTAATGGCGCACGGGGACTGAACTCGGAGGAGGCAACATGCATGATGGAAAAGGGATAATGAGGAAATAGTTAGATTACACTTAATATTCACGGCGTCAACTTACGTGTCTAGCAGGTTTAGGGCTCCGAAACTACTTCGTACACAGAGCGCCCGAACCTCGCGATCATCGAAAAAACGGATTATTGGCGGTGTACTTCGTAGATCGCTGCAATTGACCTCGTCATGGTGGGCCCACTGGACGGCAGTGTCTCGCCCAAGTCTTACATGACACTAGACTGGATTTTTCTTTCCATCATAGTCGCCGAGACTCCTTACTCAATAAAGGAGTTACACGAAGAGAGGGCCCTAGAGGAATGGGCGTGCTAATGCGAGGAGCCGTCTGATGGAAAGAAGCACTGATGGATGTTTTTGACATGTTGCAAAGTGCATTTGCAAACGTACAGGAAGAAAGTCCCATACCGGCAATCCACATCCAACACTTTAGATACCCCTTTGAAAAGACAGGAATGACCAAGACGAGCATATTACGTCGAAGAGCGTTGAGCATCACTGATCGAAACCCTCCCTCAGTGCCACGAAACATCTCGAGCAGAGAGAAACGAATATCACGTGATATTTTCCGATTCTGCGGGCACTTCCGATTATGGTTGCGAGAAGATTCGAAGCTGATTCTCTGATTGGACCACTTTTACCCCGGACTTCTTGTTCCTGTGAAATCTTGGCAAGTGTACATGTGACCTCGCTTGTTCAACAGGCTTGGGTCACCTCAACAAGAAGCGTCTCGGCTCCATACGACTAGCCGACAAGGACGGATGACTTTCAATTCGAAGAGAGTCATGGAAAAAGGCTCATGTGGTTTCAGAAGCCTATCGAGACCCAGAATATATAATTTCTAATCATCTCCCACGCCGCCTAGCACGCATTGGAACCTCATGTTTCCGGTCTGTTAAGCGCCTCACAATATGCCTCGGAAGGCCTAGCATTATCGAACTCGATCTCCCAAACCACGTTAATCCCTTCCTAGCATGTGGGAATCACAATGCAGTTCTCTACCACAATATTACTTCTTCTAAATCTGCAGGCGCTGGCGCTCGCAGAACCGATACCTGAACCGCGCCACTCTCAACAACAGCTGGGGGATGACGATAGGCCTGGTGATGGGGGCATACCCGTTTCGCTTTTTGCCTCTTTGGAGCGTCTGTCCCGCCTGGTTGACATCGCCTACTGTGTCGGCACTTCGGGATTATCAAAACCGTTTTCATGCGTCTCGCGATGCAAAGACTTCCCTTCACTTACACTAATATCTACCTTCAGCACCGGGGTTCTCCTCGGTGACAGCTGCGGGTACATTGCGGTCGATCATGGCGTGCGGCGTCCTGGGTACGGGCGCGGAGATGACGTTGGCGAGAAAGCCATCATCTTAGCATTCCGGGGAACTTACAGCATATCCAATACCGTGGTTGACCTGAGTACCATTCCGCAAGAATACGTTCCTTACCCTTCGCCAGACGAGCCCGAACACAATTGCACGAACTGCACGGTACATATGGGTTTTTTGGCATCTTGGAAGAATGCGCGGAAGGAAATTATGCCGACCTTGACGGACTTGAGAGAAAAGCATCCCGACTACCCAGTCTATGTCATTGGACATAGTTTGGGGGGAGCAGTAGCGGCGCTGGCGGCGCTGGAGCTAAAAGCATCTCTTAAATGGGAGGATGTTGTCGTCACGACCTTCGGCGAGCCTAAGATAGGCAACAAAGGCCTGGCGCGTTTTGTCGACGATGTTTTCGACCTCGACTCGGATATCGAACCAGAATTGAAGACTTACAGGCGTGTAACTCACGTAGATGATCCTGTGCCTCTTCTTCCACTGTCTGAGTGGGGCTACCGCTCTCATGCGGGAGAGATATTCATTACGAAATCGGATCTTCCACCGGAGCCTGAGGACCTCATGTTTTGCGTTGGGGATGACGATGTTAGATGTATCTCCGACTCGAATGATGGTGGTAGCGGAGACGAAGGCCGAAGTTGGTGGAACAAGATGCGGTTCCCGGCGCGGTTTAAAGTCTGGGAATTATTGTTTGCTCACAGGGATTACTTTTGGAGACTGGGACTGTGTGTCCCCGGCGGAGATCCTCGAGATTGGGGAAGAGAGCAGTACAACTTTGGTGACTTGGGTCAAGCTAAGTCAGACGAGTTATGAGACTGGTCATGGAAGAGCGGTAGTAAGGCCGAGGCCGAGAGAGCTGGGGGATGGGCTCTGGTTACGAATGATTATGTTGGTTAAGGTGCATAGCTGATTAGGAGTCGTGGGGCATAGGGTGCATTTTCATGGATGACGGTAGCGATTTATGATGAGTCTCACATAGTATTTCACATTCTTCTCCAATTAATGAATACGAACTCCTTGATTGAACACCCACTTCTTCTCTTCCTCTTCTCCAGGGCAGGACGAACTAGCCGCCTACGAAAAGAGGAGAATGTGAAATCACATCATTGGGCATATTGAGGCTCAGCCACAGGGCGACGTCACATGGATCCTTCAGTGGCACCTGTGTCCAACCAGTGGAACAGGCAGGCTCCCATCTCAGCAACCCGGCATGACATAGCACTCGTGCTTAGAACGTTCGTCGTCTCGCTATGTTAGACGGAGAGGTGTAGGGGATTTTAGCTCGCAAAGGCGGAGACTCCCGCGCATTCCAGAGAGAAAGCGGGGCATTTTATCGGAACAACGGGACGGCGCACCTCTCTCTTGTTCGGTGTTGAAGATGAGACCGAAAAAAAGTAGATCGCGTGGACATGTTGTGCCTTGCACGTTTCGGTCCATGGGACTGGACTATTTCGACATCTACGAAGGATGGCTGTGATAACAGGTGTTCGCGGACCAATCCTGGTCTCGACTCCATGGCATGTGCGAGAAAGAGCACCGAACTTTTCGGTGATGAGCCTAGAGAGCCAGCAGGTTGGGTGTCATATGGTTCCGTCGGTCATGGGTAAGGCAGCAGAAGGATATGAATTACTTTTGTCCTAGTTGGAATGATGAGACAGACTTCACGAGGAGAGCATTTTCTTCTTCTTTTTTCAGTCTTTCAGAAGTCGAGTGATAACGCCTTGAGAGGCGGGGGAGTCGGTTCCAGTGGATAGATTACAACGCCACGGAACGGCTGGCTGGTTGCGAATAAAGTTAGGGCGGTGCACTGCCTTCCCTGACCATTCTAGATTATTACGCTTCCGTTTTTCGCACAATTCCATGTGTCTTAATTCTGCCTCTACCATAACGGCCTGCTCCGCAGCCAACCGTGGAGGGGGAGGGGTCGAAGTGATGACCGAGTCATGAGCGAGTCACCAATAACGTCTGACGGAGGATCTGAGGGACTTGATTCACACACTGATATGATTTCGTCTTGTGTCACATTTCTCCCTCCCTTCCATCCAGTAGGAGAGGGTCATTGCGTTGCGGAACGAACAGGGTCGTAAGGCTGGGTTATGACGGGCGCCGATTGTATGGTGCCAACAAATTTACGGAATTTAGGGGGAACGGGAGGGGTGGGAAATGGGAAAATACTGTGTGGGCTCATGGAAGTGAATGGAATCGCCAGAATGGCAGAAAATCAATCATGGCTCCAGCTGTCATTACAATTCTCATTTGATTGAGGCGAGGAGGTACAGGGTACAGGCGTCTCCGCTACGGTGTGGGAAATTAACCGAAGGGATGTAAATCCGTCTGGCTGTCAGGTTCAATATCAACCCATGGATGACCGAAGACAATGGAGTTTTCAATACCTCGACATTTCTCCACTCGAGGCAGAGGAGAAATCAGCGCATCTTGGGGAATGAGTCTGTCCTGTTTGTTTATCCTGGACATGTGATTGCTTTAAGCCGTACAACCACGAGTACGGAGTACACAACTTGCGTGACGAGAGTGTCCAAGAGAGAGAAACGGATGACCTTCCGTTTGGTAGTTTAGGAGGGGGAACTACGAAGTACACTTGTAGGGCTTGCCCCCCGAATTTTACATCAGTCACTGCATACAGGTACAATTGTAATTATCGCCCTGGCTCTGGACAACGCAGAGCCTCGATGGGCCCCGCCGAATTCCGTTTTGACTGAGTAGTGCGCACAGAGTAAAACTGGACCTACCTGAACGCTCGCTGGTTCATTGTCGAGAACCCCACCGTTAGTCCTTGTACCCAATACCCCATCTGGGTACTTAGCCATTAACCTCCCCTCCAACACCGCAGCCCATTTGATGATGGCGCCCGTGACTCCATCGGCCTCTCACAGCCCACCCTGGCCTCGCAGCGGGTACCCTCGCTCGAGAAAAAAACCCCGCCTCAGTGCTCAACGTTCCGGGAAACAGGCGTCCGGGAGCTACCATTCGACGGTGACTAGAGGTAGAGGGTACGGGGAGTACGTACCACTCCATTCACGATCAACAGACCAGACGGTGGTGCTCGCCCAATCTTCAGGCTGCCAACACCAGGCCCTGCCAGACGCCCAGACACTGTCAGAGGTCAACAGGTCAGAGGGGGGGGAAAGTCCCGTTCGACAGTGGGCTCAGCCATCACCTCAAAGGTCTTTCCGTCTCAATCCTCCACCTGCATTTTCGACCTTCGCGACCTCTCAAAACTTTCCCACATATCCCCCTCCAAAAACGTAAACACTCCGATCCTCGATATTCTTCACCCGCCTCCATCTTTCCTTCTTACCTCGCAACTCTTTTATTTTTTTTTTTCTTTTGCCCTTCTCTTTCATCGACTGTCTTTGCCTAGCAGGTCTTACTTGCCAGTCTCTTTTTTAACACTACGCCCGCACCCCTCTTCGACCCCCCATCAGTCTTCGACTCCACCGTCAGCCTGTCAACCACAATGGCCTCCGAGGTAAGTCGACGCCCATTTTGAGCTTCCCTCGATATTTGGTCCCTACGATCAAATCCTCCTGTGTACCCGGAGCGCTCTTTCTTCACAATAGTGGCCACCGGTTTACATGTCGCCCCTTTCCGAACTATCCCTCCTACCCCGTCCCCTCCCGAAACCACGAGATTCTTGCCGGAGCCATTTCGAGGTTTGCTAACATGCATTTTCTCTCCGTAGCGCGAAAGGTAAGCCTCAAAGAAACACCAGGCGTTTACTCTCCCGAGGCAATTCCCGGTGCTTCCCCAGTTTGCTGACCGCCTCTTACAGCAAGACGTTCCTCGCCCGCCTCTGCGAGCAGGCCGAGCGCTACGATGAGATGGTTACTTACATGAAGGAGGTTGCCAAGTTGGGCAGCGAGCTCAGCGTCGACGAGCGCAACCTTCTCAGCGTCGCCTACAAGAACGTTGTCGGCACCCGCCGGGCCTCGTGGCGCATCATCTCCTCCATTGAGCAGAAGGAAGAATCCAAGGGCTCTGACAAGCACGTCGCTACCATCCGCGAATACCGCACTAAGATCGAGGAGGAGTTGGAGAAGGTCTGCCAGGATGTCCTCGACGTTCTCGACCAGTACTTGATCCCTCAGGCTGCCAGCGGCGAGTCCAAGGTCTTCTACCACAAGATGTTAGTTTCCATTTCCCCCCTCGCTCCTTAACGCACAAGGTGGCACGCGCCATACTTTGGACGCATTCTTCCGCCAGCGTTATCCCCGCTCCATTTCCAAAGTCAATCCTTCTGTCTGGCGGGCCAGGGCGGTATGCTAAGCGGTGGATCTTCTCCCATGAAATAGGAAGGGTGACTACCACCGATACCTCGCCGAGTTCGCTTCTGGTGAGAAGCGCAAGGTCGCTGCCACTGCCGCCCACGAGGCGTACAAGGTGAGCTGCGACAAGCCCCACCCCCGACCGTTAGAATGCCCTTCGTTTGTTGGGGGCTCTACTATCGCGTCATTACGTCGCATCCTCTCCACGCGATGCGGCCTCTCTTATCATGTCTTGATGACTAACATGGAGGGGCACTTGCTGTGCCCCATCTTAGAGCGCCACCGATGTTGCTCAGACCGAGCTCACTCCCACCCACCCCATCCGCCTTGGCCTTGCGTTGAACTTCTCTGTCTTCTACTATGAGATCCTCAACTCGCCCGACCGTGCTTGCCACCTCGCGAAACAGGCGTTCGATGATGCCATTGCCGAGCTCGACTCCCTCTCCGAGGAGTCGTACCGCGACAGCACCCTCATCATGCAGCTCCTCCGTGACAACCTGACGCTCTGGACGTCATCTGATAGCGCTGATGCTGAGGCCGCCCCTGTTTCGAACGAGCCTCCCAAGAACGCCGGCGAGGGTGAGGCTGCGAAGACCGAGGAGGAGCCCAAGGCCGAGGAGCCTGCTGCTCCTGCCTCTTAAAGCCCATCACACATACATCGATACCACCTGCAACTGTGATGATGAGTTGAATGAATGAATTGGTTGCGTTTACTCATATGAGCCGCCTGGCCTCAGGTTACCCGTATTGGGACCTGAGAGGGTGGGCCAATGGGACGAAATATGTGCGAAGTAGTACCCTTGGAGAGGGCAATTGTTGCGGTTGTTTTCCTTGTCTTTTTCTGATGTTTTTAACCACCCAATTGTTTTCGTTTTGAATCTATCACGGTAACGGGGCAAAGATGGACTGCGGGAACGGACAACCTGATTTGGCAATAGGAGGTATTGAGGAGAATAATGCTGGGAGGCGAAGGATGCCGGGCGATTTTTCTTTCCTGTTTTCCTTATTCCCGGGGCTCGATTTCCGAGGCTTGGGAGAACAACAATCATGAGAGGATCTCGTTGACGGGCTTCTTCCTTCCTGTTTATTTTCCTCTGCCCTCTCCTCACATGTATCGGGCACCTGGCCTTCAAGCCTCCGTATGTCCCATTTTTGGGGGGCTCCTGGGAACAATAACCTTCTTGGATATCCATTTCCTCGTCACTTAAACAGCCCCATCACAAGGATTTGTTTTAGTTCTCCCCCCAAACCCCGCTTAGTTGCCGACTGCACTGCACGCTCGCGCGTACAAACGGATGAAGATCATCCAATCTCCCTAGTTCCTTTTGAATTCTGTGTGTTCCGTTCCCGAATTCCCATATTCTAGGCTACGGTTGTTGCGTTTTTTTGTTCCGAATCTATGGTTACCCTGCGGGAAGGATATTTGAGAGTAAATCAAGGTGTGAGGGTATGTATGGCAAGGGAGGGTCTATCAGCAGGGGGTTTTAAACCTGCTTTGGTTGATTCTTCGTTTCTTTTCCTTTTCCTCATTTCTTACCTAAATTTAAAAAAAAAACCCAGTGATATCTATATTGGGGGGCCTGTAAGCGTGGTGAAGTCTCTTATTTTTGTTTCACTTTCCTTCCCCAGGGACCTTAGTTCCGCCGCCGCAAAGTATTGACTGGACATATCATCCATGACAACCACGCTCTATTCACGCTCTCTCTCACAGCTCTAGGATGCATGGTCCTAGAGCTATCTCGGGCTCCGATTCCCTCTCATGTATTGGAACCTCTTAAAATCAATTTCACTGAAACAGCGGGCGTGAGACAAGTAAAGTTGGAACCTCTGCTCCACCATCCTCCGGAAAAAAAGAAGCAAAGACCAGTCTCTCGGAACAGGTCCGCGCCATTCACAAGACTCGCAGTCGACCCCGGGCCTTATTTTCTGACAGCTGTTGATTGTGGGGGGTTTGCATGACTCGTTAGGATGCGTGATGAAGACGGGAGGAAGGGGACCGGGGGGGATTCGCGGGGGGGTTGTAGGCTTTGTGGAAATTGGAAAGGAGTGGATCCCTTTGCTTTTGGGGCCATGTGACGGATGGAGAGTGGGCAAGATGTGGAGGACGGGTTCGGTAAGGGTAGATGAAGACGAGAGAGAAGTTAGGATGTGGGAGAGCTGGTGGTGAAAGTGATGGGCGCTGGCGGTGGTGGTGGAGGGATGGAGAGAATTCCCGCTACATTGTAGGCTCACCCTCGCCCTCGAGCTCGCGATGCGTTCATAGGGTTCTAAAATTCGTTCATTAGAGAGCAGGGCTTATATCCCGATATAAAAATCTTTCAATGGTATATCCAAAACTAAATAAATAAACAAAAAAAAGACATCAAGAGCTCCCACATACGCCCCTCACGATGTATATATAAAACTCCCACGCAAGATTTGTCACGCAACGTTTTCCCGCGCAGGAAACTCCCTCCCCATCTCCTCCCTCTTCTCCCTTAACCTCCTCTGCTCCTCCAAAAGCCTCATCCCCCTCTCCAGCCTCGCAAACCTCTTCCTCCTCATAGCAGCAATAGGGTCCTCATCCGACCCGCTGGTACTCCCATCCTCGTCCACTTCGTCAGGATACGCCTCCCTGAAGCTCGAATACATCTCGGTCCTATCGACATCACACCCCGGCATCTCCCCATCCTCCTCCCCCTTCGCCCCGGAACGCATCCCTCTACCTAACCGCCTCGTGAGCCGTTTAAGACGCGTGCGGAAGGGATTGTGTCTCGCGTTGTTATTGTTGTTGTTGCCGTCGCGGGAGGTGGGAGGGGACGGTGGGAAGGATGGGGCGGGAGTCGTGGGTGCCGTGGAGGGGGGCTGGGAGGATGGTGGCGAGGGGGGCGTTAGGCGGAGGACTTCGTCGAGCCAGATTTCGATGCGGGCGTTGCGGGATGGGTTGGGGGATGCGGAGGGGGAGGGGGGAGGTGGTGTTGAGAGCGGCTGGGGAGAGAAGGATGGAGGATTGGGGTCTTCGGGGAGACCCATTGGTAGGGTTTGCGGTTGGGCTGTTGTGGTGGCCATAGTTTATGGTTGGGAAGGGCGGTTGTGTTCGGATGTGAGTTTGGGAGTGGGTTTGTTTTTGGTCGAGAGCGTGGGTTTGAGGTATTATGGTGTTACATTGTTCTTCTAGAGTTGTAGACTAATACGGGAAGGAAAGGAAGAGGTGAGAGGTGAGAGAGGAGAGAGGAGAGAGGAGAAAAGGCTGAGTATAAAGGTCATGAAGTTGTAGAGACAGTCCGATAAGAGACAGAATCAAGATCGGCTACACTGGACCAGAGAGAGAGATTTGCAGCGGCCCGTCATGATCTTCGCAAGTTGGGGACGCCGACTCCCGCCTCCCCCCCTTTCCTGTTCGAAGAAGCAAGTACGAGGGAAGCTAGGCGGAGGATTTTAAGTTGGTGGCCTTCGATTCTGCTCTATGGCTGTCGTCGGCGAGGACTAAATCGGAGCTGGAAGCTGGGGTTGATCAACGAGATGAGAATTTGGCAAGATCAGTGGTGATGTCACATCCGCGGGGGGAAAGAATTTGATCTTCAACACTTTTTTTTTTTTTTTTTTTGAAATCAATCGTTTTTACAATCTCTCACTTCGCACAACACTAACACACGCTAGTCTCCTTTTAAAGGGAAAAATGGGAAAAGCTTCTCAAGTTGCTTGCCACCGAGCTCTCTTTCTTTTCCTGCATTTCCTCGTACACAAAATAAACCGGGAATATCCCGACGCCGTCTCGAACTTTGCTTCTTCTGCTTCCCGACGCCCGTCAACAATCATCTACGAAGTACTGACCGAGTGTTTTAAGTTTTTTCTTTCAAGCTAAAACTGGGCCGAATGCTGACTCGAACTCGGGGTGATCGTGGAGGAATTCGTAGTACTGTCGATCCTGGGGTGAAGCCCCCTTTCCACGTCTAGACGAGAATCGGGAAATATATATATATAAGAAAAAGAAATAAAAACAGAATGTTCTAATTTGAAAATGCATCCGATCGGGACCTTGCGGTCTTAGGCCCGATTCATACACTATGATCAGAATCAATATACACTAGACTTTCATGTCTTTAGAGTATGGAGTACTGCGTGTAATTGCAGCAACAGGCCATCATGTTCGCAGAAGAATAGTGTAGATACTCGTGGTTTCTTTTCTTTTTTTCCCTACCAAAAAACATAGCCGAGCCGGATGAGCACAAGTTGGAAGACAAGTGCCTCATATTCCCAGCGTACCACATACCCGGTTCTATAAACGCCGTTATGCATCCGTGATAAACCCTCGAGACTTTTTCCTTTTTTTGTCAAGAATCACAAATACCCTTTGACACGTTTCCATGCATCCATCCGTAACCTGAACTACCGCATTTGCGGCTTTAATGTCTCCCAGCCCCCTAAACCGCCGTCCCCATCACCATCAAGTGAATCCAAAAGATCAACTTCGGCTGCAGCTCCATGCAGCGGCTCCTTCGTCTGCGGCTTTGCTGGAACTTGTGGCGGCGGCTGCTTCTTAGCGTGCGCTACCGCTGCGGATGCTGCTGCCGCCTTGACACCTACGACCCCGCCGCCGCCCGACATGCCCGGTAAACGGACGGCCCCCGGAGGCGCAGGCGGTGTGCCTACATCACCTTTCGCCGGCTTAATTCCTACCACCGGCTTGGGTGGCTTCGGCGGTGCGACCGGCCTCCTCTGTGTGCTGGGAGCCGGAGATGCGGACCTTGTGCCGTTTGTCGAAGCGCTCTGTTCAACCGGCGCCGGGCTGCGCGCAGGCAGTGGCGGCGGGGATTCCTTGTCCGTCGTGCTTCCTGGCACTAGGGATGTGCTTGTGAGATAGGATGGCTTCTTCGCAACAGGTGGGGGTCCGGCGCCAGCACCCTTGGTTTCCTTGCCTGGCGGAGGAGATGGCCCTCGTTGAGAAGAGGGTGGTACGGCCCGCGGCGGAGATACCTGCCGCGAGACTGACACCGATCTCGGCGGCGGAGGCGGAGGAGCTGCCGTCCTCGTCCTCTGCACCGGTCGTGGTGCGGCTAACGATGTGGATGTGGCCTGTGCCTGTGATATCGGCGCGGTTGCCTGTCGCCGTGGAAGAGGAGGCGGAGGAGGCGTCTCGCGCTGCTGAGGCGACCTCGACAGTACATCGTCCGTAATAGCCATCCTCCCGACCTTAGCAGGTAACGACCCAGCATCAAACGGCGGTGGAAGCCTCCTGCCACTCGGTGTTCCTCCCGACGTCGAGAGAATGGTCGAGTGGTTAATGACTTCGTAGGCCGAGCTGGCCAGACTTGACAATGACTGCCTGGACGACGACCGCGGGATAGACACCCAATCGGGCTCCTCCGTGGGAGTAAACGGGTTGTTTGGCCGGTTGGGATTCAGAACCGTCGTCATCCCGCTGTTGGCGGGATTGGGCGGAACCGCATCAACTCGTGCGGATAACCCGTTAGCTAGCCACCACTTCTGCCGATCGGAGCTAGCCGGCGGCAGGCCCGGTTCGATGGCATCGTAGCCTACGAGATCCTCGTCCTCTTCGCTATCCTCATCTTCTATGTTCGTCACGCTCCCTCCGACTTCACCCATGCGTTTTTTGTACAGAGTCTCGCTGATTGACTGCCGCAATGCCTCATCTACAATGCTGACCACGCAGTTGAACACGGCATATACAGGCCTATGGTCGGAAAACCGTAGGGGCGCAGAATCGTAAGCAATCTGCTTAATGTTTGAGCCTTTACGCAGAATCCTATCAGTCCATGCCGGGATTCTGGCTTTCTCCCTGTGCGACACCAGCGATATTAGCATTCTTGTCGAGTTCGAGTCCGTGATCTAGGGGAAAGCGTACGAGCTATCATATTCGTCGGTCCCAAGGTCAAACTTATATGTAGGCGCAAAAGTAATCCTGCTTTCAGAATAATACGGGAAAGAAAGCCCGGCTACCATTTGAAGGTTGAGCTTTTACCAAGAGAACGTTAGTACATGCTTATTGCCAATGATGTGATGCGTTCCTTCAACCCATCGCCTCAAGCCTTACCTGATCGTTATCATAAAGCGTCGCGAGGTCTCCCCGTTGGATGTAAGAGAGTGTGGTCTCTCGATCGAGACCAATGCGGTAATTGAAATCGCCAAACCAGATTACAGTATCTTGATGTCTATGTTAGTAGCCTTTCACATTACAAGGAAAGTAAGTGGCTGGTGGTACTCACCATGATCGTCGATGCCTCTATTCCTCTGGAACCGGAGCCCGCGATGAATTGTCGCAAAGTCCCGATTCCTCTCATCGTAGTTCGAGAATCCCGCAGCAAGATGCGCCGTGACAAAGCAAATCGGGGTGTTCGCATAGTCAAGCCTAATCGCGACGGCGCCCTTATTGCCCGCCATGCCGGACATGCCCGTCTTCTTCACGCTGCCCTCTACGTTCTTGATATTCCCCAGCACCGACGACTTCACGAAGAGACACAGCGCCGCCCCGACGAGCTGCCCGCTGCGCAAGAGTATGTATTTTTCTCCGCTAGCCTTGGCTCGGGCGTTGAGCGTCCTACGCACCGCCTGCTCCCAGAGATGCTTTCTTGACGGGTCGCTGTTCATGATCTGCTGCGGGCTCAGCTCGACGATTTCTTGGAAACCGACGGCCACGATCTCGGGAAGCGTCGTGCCAACTGCGGCGGGCCATAACCAGCGGGATAAGTCCTCTTCAATGCCGTGGGTCTTGCCATTGAGGTTGAAGGTGCCGACGAATCTGAAACGGAAAATATTAGCGGTAAGAGAGAGACGGGGGGGAGGCAACAATGAACTATTAGGAGCGTGTTTTCACATACATTGTTATCGATCGATTCGACGAGAACTCGGCGCTCCGCTTTGAGAGCTCAACAGCGACATAATCGCTGATCGGATCGAACAGCTGAACAGCCTGCTGCCCCATTAGACGACCAAGCAACAAATCAATGGTCAACTGCCGTGACGAGTCGGTGAAGTTGTTGTGGTAGAGTCGCTGTGCTGATTTGCGAAAGTCTGCCATGGCACCCGAAAGCGACATCTTGCCGTGCCTCGTGAAAGACGTCTTGAGCGCCCCCGTTCCGGCGTATATCTTAGACAATGCGTCGCCATTGTCCGCCCAGAGACTGGAATGCCTCATCCAAAAGTCTGAGGCCGCATATTCTCCCCTATGGCCCAGGAATGTCTCCACCGCCATCTGGGAAATCATCGTCTGGATGAGGTTCGTCCTGTCTAAGCAGTCTAGACAGTTTGTGCGAAACACCCCCTCCTGCTGAAGGACGACGACTAATCTGCTGTCCTTTTCATGGAGAGTCGAGCCGTCGTCGGCGCCGTCGTCATCCTCATGAGCAAGGTAATAGGCGAATGCGTCGATGGAATCTTCAATGTATCGCCGAATTCCTTTGGCTGCCTCATACCCGATTGCTTTGGTTTCGGCGTGGAAATCGTATTCGCTGGATTTGAGCAAGGCGTGGTCTCTAGACTCTTTTCCTCCAGGGCGGCTCAGCGGACAATGTGCGGTTCCGTACCGATAGAGCTGCGTCAGCTCAGCTTCTCCCGGCTTAGCGTCGCTAAGCAGATTGATGATATGGACGGCGCCGTACACCTCTTCTAATCCTTGAAAGTGCTTGTCAAAGGCCGGCTGCGTGCCGTCGGGCGACCTGGTAATGGTGATTTTTTGTCGTCCGGGAATGAGGTCCGGTGCTTGTTCCCAGAAGACAGGAACAGAGCCTCGAACTTGTACGTAGGAAAAGACGATGCCTGCGGGGCTCCAGTACGTTGTCTCAGACTCGACAAAGTTGGCCACATTTCCATCATCGTCGATGCCTCGGGAGTTGAAGCGGGTGCCGACACGCTTACACGAGAGCCTCGATATCACGGAAAGAAACGAAGGTAGGCGCGAAGACTTTGGCGCAACCGGGGCAGCGGCTTGAGGTATTGTCATGGTTCCGCAGAAGCCTCGGATAGCGGAGGTCAATATTCTCGAATGGTCAAGGGCCTCCCTTTCCGGGGGCATTAATCTCGACCTGAACTTGACCAACGGGTTGATCATGAAGAAGTTCCAGAGGAAGGACTCGTCAAAGTTATCAATATCGAACGTCGTGTTGCTTGCTGGTCTATATCGTGAGCATGAATTAGTATCATATTCGAGCTATCTAGGCTAATAATTTGGACATATCGAATAGCACCGGTCCCTACCTATTTTGTAGCCTGCTAGTCAGGTCGAAATCTGTACTGTAGTAAAAGGTCCCGTTGCTTAGGAGCTTCCGTAGTTCCTGACATGGATGTTGCTCTATCGCCAGGTCTCTTCGCGCTAGGTTCTGTCCGTATACGGACGAGGAATCGGAGAGCTCTGGGTCCAAGTTATCCAGAGAATAGACGAAGTCATAATCGGACGTATTGAGGCAGTAGAATTCGACGCTTGCGATTCGCTCGACCGTCTCGCCTGGCCGAATCGTCGCGGCTCGGGTGGCTTGCGTAACGACGCAGAGGAAGACATCGCCATCGACGGAGATGAGGCCCAAGGTGCCGTATATGGGCTGCGGCGTCAAAGGCCGGTAGTGTTGGAGAACATGTCTTGTGTTGCGAGAAAACTCAACCATGCATTTCGATTCGAACCCATCACCGTTGCGGGGCCGGTGACCGTGGACGGAGAGTGGGGTGCTATTCCCGCTGACGGTGGTGCTGTAACGGAAGATCAGAGAATGGGAGTCGGAGACGATGGCGATGGCTCGGTGAGGATGTTCGCGGATGAAGATCTGGCTCGATTTCTCGGGCCCTGGGGATGGGCGATGGACAGGCCACGAGCCTGTCGTGGAGGGTCGCTCCATTGGTAGTTTGCAGATGCCTTCGTTGCGGTCGAGGCTAAACTGTTGGGCGGAATGGATGACATCAAGATCGAAGGCGCAACGAGGGCTAGGATCGAAGAAGGGGGCCTCAAGGCTGGGATAGGCGTCTAGCGTAGCTTGATGATATCATAATCAAGACTTAACAATTTGAACTTCGAGTTCTTGGTCGCCTGGCTCTCTGCGCCCGAAATTTCAGTAGGGGGGAAACGATCAAGAAGCACAACGGTCCGAACAGAAATATTTACGGTTTCTGAAAGGCCAACGCCATTCTCGGACACATTTACATGGAGATTTGAGGTCGATCAGTGCAGGTTCTTCCGGGGCGATCGACGAAGGAGGCGTCGCTGGTGACTGCTGAAGAAGAAGTACACGTTGTCAGCGCTGGGCGACGTGGAGCACAAGTGTCTCAGCTCCTCCGTTCTCGACAGTTCGCAGTTGGGCTCAAGTGACAACATCACACCTCACTCGACCTGTCCAAACGGAGAGAAAATTTATCTTCAAATCTCTCAAGTTCGAGGACGACGACGGTATATTCTTCTATTGCATTAATGTACGGAGTTGCTCGATTCCTCTGTTGGACTCTGCGATTCTATCTAACACGCAGGTTGGCTAGGAGCTGGTGCTTCTTGCTCTTCATGCGGATACCAATTTGCTCCTGCCAGTGCTCTTCGTAGTCGACCTGTTTCTATGCCTAGCGGTCCAGCTTGCTTGTCTACGAAGTAGATTGATAGGTTGATAGGAGCGAATCGACCGGACTGGAAACGAGGGAAAAGGACGAATGCCCACTTGAGCTTCGCTGCAGCCGAAATGGCATTTAGCAGAAATGAGTCGGTGCCGAGAGATCCATGGCATAACACGGACAAAGGCGAGATGAGACGAAACGAAACACGAAAGTCAGGCTTCAGATACAATAATTTGAGATCAAGCATCCCCGTAGGGAGGCATTCAGTCTCTTCCTATCATATGTTTTGTTTGTGCATCATCATAAGCCATTGTAGGATGAAAGAAGAAGAGAAAAAAAATTCCTTCTTGGTCCTGTACCTCCAATATTGTTCAATTTTCGTTGTCTCGCGAGATTCTCCACATGGCGCTTATGTAATTCTCAAGTCCGACAGCAACAGCGCTGGCTGGACTTTCCCTGGACAGCCTTGTGGCTGACTCTAAGTCGCTTTTCAGACTGTCCAGTCGGTAAGCTTTGGAAGGAGGGTACTGAACATGGAGTGTACCTCATTTAAAAGTACCACTTTTCTCTGATTGGCGCGGAAATTTTTCTGGAGAAATACTCCACGTAGACAATCTCTCCGCATGGTACATCTACCTGAGGTACCCCTCTTGAACCTCGCTCAGCGTCGATCAGAAGCTTCTTCCCAAGTGAAAGTGGCAGAAAAATCCAGCCACCTTATCCAATCCTCTGATGAACTTCCCTCCTTCCCACCACCACCAACCAAATCATTGTCACCACTTCTCTACTTCGTACTTTACCACTTACTTTCCACCTCGAACTCGAACTCCCCTCGCCTCTCTTGCATCATTCCCCTCCGATTACGGCATCCAATTTCAGGGATTCTGCTATTCTCATATTGTCTAGTCATATTTGTCCGACCTCAACTATTAGCACTCGCGATTTGTTTCGCGTAGTCGCATGCGCATCGGCCTGTATTGTTATCAGCGATCAGCCCCAGACCTCCTGTTCTAGTTGCAACCATGGCGGATTTCGGCCACTTTGCGTCCTCCGACGAGGAGAACGTCGAGGTTAAGCGCCTCAGAGCTGAAGTGGTACGCTTCTGTGCCAGCCCCCTCTTCCACCTCTATTTGTATGGTGCTAATCGCGCCTTTTCTTGCAGGATGCCGACCCCGATAGCTTCGAGAACTGGGAGAAGCTCATTCGCGCCTGTGAGATGGATGGCACACTAAACCGAAACTCGAGCCCCCAAGCGATTGCCGCGTTCCGAGATGCATACGACGGTTTTCTCCTCAAGTTTCCTCTTTTCTTTGGGTACTGGAAGAAGTATGCCGACCAAGAGTTCAACATCGCTGGGCCCGAGTCCGCGGAGATGGTAAGTTGCTTCTCTTAAATCGATGCGCCTTTTCCTCCTTTCTTTTTGTCTCTTTTTCTCTTCGCGTATCGTCGCCGCACCGAATCCTCCCTTGCTAACACTGCTTCTATTTCTAGATATACGAGAGGGGCGTCGCTAGCATCGCCAAGTCGGTCGATCTGTGGACTGAATACTGTTCCTTCAAGATGGAGACAACACATACACCACACTTGGTTAGAGAGTAAGTTATAGTAGGGGTAATTTTTTCCTTCCCTCCCTTAACCAGAATCAAACTCGTTGTCGTCGACTATGCAGCCCTCCCCGGGATGACACGAGTCCTGCCCTACCGCTCGCTTGCCGCTGTTCTCTTCGACGACGACAATCGCATCGGGCCTGCTTCTTCCCATCTACCGCCTAGATATTCACTGGCGCAGGGTCAATGGATTGTTCCACGGCTTCTTCCGTCAACGTTGCCGCTCTTATTCTATCTTTGCGTTGCCAGTCCATGCCACCCAGAGTCGTCGGCCGCCTCGCGTTCCTCCCTCAAGTCTTGCCCCCCATCTACCTGGATTCTTTTTTTTTTTTTTTTCTATGTGTTTGGTGGTGTTGGATTTTGCGCGTCGCTTCCACTAGAAACAGCACTTCCTGTATATCACCTATTTCCCTTTGCTTATCCCCTCTCTTCCCCTCCCCACACCCCCTCCCTCTCCAGAACCACTGTGGGGTTCGCGGACTTTTGCAAGACTAACGTTGGCTCTGTTAATAGGCTCTTTGAACGGGGCGCTACCGCCGTAGGCCTCGATTTCCTTGCCCACCCCTTCTGGGACAAGTATATCGAGTACGAGGAGCGTCAGGAGGCTCACGACCGAGTCTTTACCATTCTTGCACGAATCATTCAGATCCCCATGCACCAATATGCGCGTTATTTCGAACGCTTTCGCCAGCTATCCCAGTCGCGCCCCATCGCTGAATTAGTACCTGAACAGACGCTCGCCAGGTTCAGGTCTGAAGTTGCCGCAGAGGCTGCCGCCTACGGTGGTCAACCACGATCGGAACTCGAAGTAGAACGCGATATCAGGACTAAGATTGACAGCCACTACTACGACATCTTCACGCGCACGCAATCCGAAACGACGAAGCGATGGACGTATGAGTCGGAAATTAAGCGCCCTTATTTCCATGTGACGGAGCTTGAACACCCCCAGCTCCAGAATTGGCGAAAATATCTCGACTTTGAGGAAGCTGAAGGCGATACCACCCGGGTTATGTTCCTGTACGAGAGATGCTTAGTGGCGTGCGCCTTCTATGATGAATTTTGGTTCCGATATGCTCGTTGGATGGCGTCGCAACCCGGAAACAAGGAGGAGGAAGTGCGCAACATCTACCAACGTGCAGCGACGCTCTTTGTTCCCATCAGTCGACCCGGAATTCGTATGCAGTACGCATATTTTGAGGAGAGCTGCGGTCGCATCGATATTGCGCGGGACATTCATGCTGCGATTTTATTGAAGCTACCCGACTGTATCGAAGCCATTGTTTCATGGGCTCATCTCCAGAGGCGCCAGAGCGGCCTCGATGCGGCGATTGAGGTTTACAAGAGTCAAATTGATTCGCCTCATGTTGATATCTACACCAAGGCAGCCTTAGTGACGGAGTGGGCGTTCTTGCTCTGGAAGGAGAAGGGATCTGTTGACGAGGCTCGTGCTGTTTTCTCGAAGAACCTCCAGTGGTATGGTGACAGCAGGATCTTCTGGGAGAAATGGATCGAGTTCGAGCTCCAGCAGCCTACGAGCGTGACGCTGGAGCCTCAGCATGCCGAGCGCATCCAGCAACTGTTTGAACAACTTCGTACCAAGAGTCGCCTGTCAGCAGCGGTGAAGAAGGAACTCTCGCGCAGTTACTTTTCGTACCTGCAGCAGAGAGGAGGCAAGGATGCTATGAAGCAGTTCCTACTCTTGGATCGTGAAACCTTTGGGTAAGCTTCTTTTCCCATTCCCTTTCAATGACCGTCAACTGTTTTAATGTCGTGAATTAACATTTGCATGATTCTAGTCCCCCATCAGTATCAGTGTATTCTAAGACACGAGCCGGAAATAAGGAAAACGGCCTGACCTTGGCCGAGCTTGACGATGCGACCAAGGTGAAGGCTGAAGCCAAATACTGGACGTATTACGACCTTCACGGAGATGTGAGCCCTGATGCTCAGGGCCCAGCCAGCTTCAACTAGGAAGAGGGTCTTTTTCGACGGAAACCCGGCCACCCGAGCAAGGACCGACGAATGGGCTCCTATCAAGTCGAATTTCGAAGGTTCTTTTTGAACGTCTAGGACTACTCTGTACTATAGTTTTGTGTTATTTTTTTTTTTTTTCCTCTTCCGCACAGCACACGTTGATGTTTGCGGTCTTATTACCTTTTCTTTTCTTCTTTTTATTATCCGCCTTCTTTTTGGCGAGGGGAAAAAATATTACGGCGGTTGGATTCTTCGGCATCAACAATGAGTTTATCACGACTCGAGCGGCGGGCATTCTCACCGTTGGGGGGAGAGTTATATGTGGAATGGATGGAACGGAAGCATAAGGAGGGAGGGAAGTCGAGCGGCAAAGGCATGGCATGGGAGAGGCGAGGCCTTGCTCGCATGCGCCGGCAGAAGACCAGTGGAGATGGAGGTCGAGTTTCATCTGCTCATGTAACCTTTTCATGTAGTTTAAGGATGTAGCTCTTGGTCTCTAGTTAGCCAACAAGAAATGATAGAAAAGGCATACCTGTGTTGTGTCAAGTCAGCCCCAGACCGATTGTAAAAGACTCATTCATATGAAGTTGCTTCTCGCTAGCGTCACCGGCCGCCATGGAACCGACTTCGGGTAAGCGAATGTTCGGGTTCTTCAAGTGCTGTTCGTCTCTTTCGCTTGCCGGGAGGTCATTTATCATTATTTTACGCGTACATGATAGTTTGCGCTCGGCAGATCGTCAGAATCAAATACAGAGCTGACAACTGGGCTGAGGCCTGTATGCTCGGCTCGGGGATACCCTTTCCTTGACCTTTCTCCTTTGAGAAGGAGGAAGAGGAAGAGGAAGAGGAAGAGGAGAAGACTTTGTTCGTATCCGGAGCGCGGGACAAGCGCGAATCTCTCTTAACTATTACTCCAGGATGAGTTTCATTTCTCATGGGATCCGGGGACATGGGCATGGGTTCACGGGAGTGATACTGATCAGTCGGATTGCAAGTATCAAATGCGATCAGGTCCTCATTGGCTGGAAACCACTACTGTATCCATTCGAGGTTGCACTCCTTTGACAAGCTGGGGCTTTGTTAGAAGGGCAGAGATTAAGGGTCCTCTCGATGTTGACGACGAGAGTGATGCCCTGACCGAAAACATGCCACTTTTATGAGAAGACGTCGTTTCCCGTCGTGTAACATCGGCAGCAGCACTCCGGATTGATTTCCGATGTCCATTATAGAGCAAGCTCTTCCATTATGCAGCTCGATGCGGCATATCAAAGCATCAAAGCACACGCGAGAAGGATCAATGGACGAAATTATTACCAGAACTGGAAAGAACCCACACCTTGCCCGAAACGGACAATGGCACGGGCTTGGCAAAAGTCATGTGATTTGGCGTCAGACCATTGGAATGGCGTGTGCTGGAACGGAAACTGCAGGGCGATTTTGGCGAGTAGGGAGGCTCAATAAACACGTGCAGCCGAGACGTCGTTTTTGGGGAGCACGTCGGCACGGCTGGTGAAATTGAGAAAACGCGCTCCGTGGAGAAAGATTTTTCTAGAGCAGCTAGGCTGAGCAATTACTATGGAACATCGGCGAGATCGGATCTTCGCATTTTAACCATGGCAAAGGCACTTGGATTGAGTCATCTTGGAAGGATTGATTGAGCCATTGGATGGAATGGGGAGGGGGGTTCTGGAGATGATGTGATGCGGCGTTTTCTGCAGGGGGATCAAGCAGGGCTGGCCTCAATGATGGACTCCTCAGCTCGCGGAGAGAAAACATTGAAAGAATTTGGTACCAGCGGCACTGTTTATTCGGCGGGCCAATTGGCCTGAATATAATGCTCCGATCAGACGATTCATTCGACAATCCAGTACTGTCCTTGCAGGGTAAACTTATGCGCACACAAACGATCAGTGCTGCAACATTGAAGTGAAACATCAGTGAGGTACACAGAGCTGTGATATCAGAAGAGTAATAGTGGACATGTGTTTAATCAGCGCCAAGCGGAACCTTTTGCCACAAAAACTCTCAAGGTACCAATGTTGCTCTCACTCTACGAGATACGCTCATTTGCTCATTGCTTTTGCCAAAGTTTGGTGGCTGAGGTCACCAGGTCTAAATACATCTTCTCCCACTCCTTATCTCAACTGGGATTAGATAGCTACTCGGCAGGCATGCGAAATAATGGGTTGTCTAGTTGCTTCTTGGAGGGTTAGGACAACGGAGCGCAAGATTGTCTGTCGGGATCCGTTGTGGGTGGTGGATTGATATTGCATTACGTTGAACGCTTTATCTCAGGTACGTGTACTTCGTACTTCCGTGGATGAAGTACCTCAGTAATCGGCGTTCACCCACGTTTCCAGAACCTCGGTCTTTGAAACGTTTTGGATGGATGTCCTTAACGAATAACCATAGAGCTCTCCACCATTGTACTCCTTGGTCGAGAACAGGCACATCACAGAGCTACCGAAAGCAGATCCGGAGCTGTCTCGACCAAGTACACTAGCGCCTGGAGCTTCCTCATGCTCGTCCAAACTCCCCACAACTAAGCAAAGAGCAAGAGCCGAGTCTCCATCCGGCAAAGCGCCAGTTTCTCTTTCCCCGTTTTCCCACCTACGTAATCAAGTTATTTGCTTGCACCTTCGAACTGTTCCGGGCCAAACTGAGTGGATCCCGAACCTTTTGGCCCATTTCGGCCAATCAGAACACTTCAATTTGCATTCTCGCTCATCCTGCCCATCATGTCCCCACAATAGAGCAGTGGAACAGGAAGGCCCCCCTCTGAAGCGAAACCCGATCTGTTCCTCCCAGCTCGATACAATTGTATCTCGGGCTTCTCTCGATTTCCCCCGGTTTCTCGTCACTCCATTCTCTTCTTCCCTCCTATTTCTTCACCTCCAATTCCATCCGGGCATCCTTAGGAAGGTAAGAACTCCCTATTCCGCTCCTCTTGATTCATTGAGCTCTCTTCTTTCGGAAGCTTGATTCTTTGTACTCTCTTTCGACTTTGCTTGTATCTATCAAGCTGTGTCACCAGTCTCCCCATCCATCTGATTCCGAATTCTCCCAGTTCGCCCACCTATTTCCCCTCCCTCTCACGCACACACTCCCTGAGCCTGTATCTGACCCGGCACTGAACAGTATTTTCAGTATTTCCTCTTCGCCTCCTACACAGATCACACGATGGCTTCGACTACCCGCCAATTCGCCCGTGTGGCGCTCCGAACCACCACCCGTCGCACCGCTTTCGTCGCTGCTCCCAGGCAAATCCTCCGCCAGGGTGGTCGCCGCTATAACTCTTCCGAGGCTGGCAAGTCCGGTGGCTCCTCTTCCTTGATCTGGATCGCTGGTGCTGCGGCGGCCGGTGGCGCTGGTTACTACTTCTTCACTCAGGGTGGCTCTAGCCCCTCGATCAAGGAGTTCAAGCCTACCCAGAAGGACTACCAGGAGGTCTACAATGTCATTGCCGGCCGCCTTGAGGAGAACGACGAGTACGATGACGGAAGCTACGGTCCCGTCCTCCTCCGTCTTGCCTGGCACGCCAGCGGTACCTATGACAAGGAGACCGGCACTGGTGGCAGCAACGGTGCTACCATGAGGTTCGCTCCCGAGTCGGAGCACGCCGCCAATGCCGGTCTCAAGGCCGCCCGTGACTTCCTCGAGCCCGTCAAGCGTGAGTTTTGGACCACCCTATTCAAACTTGACTGAAAATTCGATGTTCCCTTCTGCTCTGCGCAGATCCGGGGCTAACAATCTGAGCAGAGAAGTTCCCCTGGATCTCCTACTCGGATCTCTGGATCCTCGGTGGTGTCTGCGCCATCCAGGAGATGTTGGGACCTGAGATTCCTTACAGGCCCGGCCGTACTGACGGTGACCTCTCTGCCTGCACTCCCGACGGCCGTCTTCCCGATGCTGCCCAGGGCCCCAAGCACATCCGTGACATCTTCTACCGAATGGGCTTCAACGATCAGGAGATCGTTGCCCTCTGCGGTGCTCACGCTCTCGGCCGCTGCCACAAGAACCGAAGCGGCTTCGATGGTCCCTGGACCTTCTCTCCCACCGTTCTGACCAACGACTTCTACCGCCTTCTCCTTGACGAGAAGTGGCAGTGGAGGAAGTGGGACGGCCCCGCTCAGGTAAGCTATGACTGACGACGAAGCTGGTTTAATACGCCATGTTGATGAGAATACTGACGTAACTCTTTCTCACCGGAATAGTACGAGGACAAGAAGACCAAGAGCCTTATGATGCTCCCTACCGATATGGCTCTTGTCCAGGACAAGGAGTTCCGCAAGTGGGTCGAGCTCTACGCCAAGGATAACGACGCCTTCTTCAAGGACTTCTCCGCCGCCGTCGTCAAGCTCTTCGAGCTCGGTGTCCCCTTCGCCCAGGACGCCAAGAGGTTCACTCTCAAGTCCCCCAACGCTTAAAGCATTCGACCACAGGTTGAAACAATCGACACAATCCGGTCACTCTACTCTCTCCCAATGTGGAATCTGTACAATTGGATGAAACGTGGGTGGCGATGGAGTGATAGTGATGTTGAGTCTAACTCTTTATATTTTCTCCTTTGTATTCTGGGGAAAAAAAAGCAGGGTTAGACGCGATGGGCCTTCGTGTGTTGGTGTGTAAGAAGGAGGGAGGACTTGGCGGATGGATCTTTTTTCTCATATTTTTGCCTTGTTTTAGAAACCTGTAACAGATTCCCGCGATGGTAGAACATCAAATTCAGAGTACATTGAAACTCACACTTAACAACGAACCTGCGTGATAGGTGTAATCCATAAAACCGTTTGTTGTGAGAACACATGGTTAAGATGCTCCGAGTATTCTCCACAGTTGGCCATTTTATTTTTGTAAAGGTCTTCTTTATTATTTTATTATATTTTTCTTCTTATTTTTATTCCTTTTTCCCTTGAATTTGTTTTCAAATCTTCGAATTGTCTCCTTTTGTTTTCTTCCTCGGAGGATGTAACCGGAGCTGCCCAAGGCAACAATTCTCATCGGCCGAGTCCAAGACCGGGTCCGTCCGCACTCCGTCGGCATAAGCACGCGTCCCTAGAACCCCGAGTCCCGATATCAGAATCTTTATTATTAATGAATGTAGTTCCGAGCCGATCCGAGAAGGATAGCGCAAGGTACATCTAAAATGTACCTAACGACAAATTTCCCTTCTATTTTTGGCCTTCCATGTCGTCGTTCCTGTTGATCCCCTGGAAAGGCCCGTTAGGAATCTGTTGTTTTTTTCATCCTTTTGGGCACTAAACTTTGTTAGTTGCGTGGGTTTTCATGTGTGAGCGAAGTGTGTATGAAAGGCCCATCTATTCTACCCTCCTTTCTAGAAGGGGCCGGTGAATATAGGCATTGATATAAATAGTGTTATGTACAATCCGAGCCAGGTATTACTGAGGCACGGCAGCATCTCATCAAGGTGAACCCTGTTTGCCTCAGACGCACCAAGCACACCAAGCACCTATATCGATCATTGGGATCTTCACGAACAGCATCGAGCCAACACAAAAATCGCGATGAAAATCGAGGGTATTCCATTTCCCTTGTTAGAAGAGTACACTATCCCAATTCCTTTGCCCGAGGGGCCGGATGTCCTAAACACCTCCCCCCATCGGTACAGGCCTCTCCTTACTCGATTGAGGCTCTCCTTCCTCAATGGAATCCATTCAAGTAAGACCCAGATCGCCCTTCCGTTTTGTTTCGCTGCCATTACATTAACCCAAAAAAGAGAGAGAAATATTAAGTCGCTGCTGCTTCTCCAATAATTTGTAAAGTATAATATGTGAAGAAGGGAAACAGAAGAAGAGGGAAACAAGCAGCTGCCTCGGAAAACGTGATGATGAAAGAGGAAAGCAACCCTAACTCGATATCCTCCAAGGCCTCATTCACCCCTAGTAATTGATTCACCCTAAGGGCCCAAACATCACCCGAGGGGTTTGAAGGGAGGGATCGAACGCGATGGTGAAGCGTTGCGGTTGTGGAAGAGCCCACGAGAAGCTTGATTGGTCGCTCAAGGAGTAATATTGACCTGCTTGTCCCCTCCTCCATCGCGTAACATCACAACCACTACTCACAGAAGAAGAAGGAAAAAAGAAAATCCCACATTAATCCCATATCTGTCATGATGGTACAATTGTTGCTGAAGAACTCGCTTTTCAGTTGCCGAGCAAAATAAAAAACAAGTTGTATGAAGAAGACTGATGAAGAGATGACGTGAAGATAACCGCCAAGTACGATGAAACCCGGTACGCCCCGCTACCCAGCTCCGTTAACGTCGTAAACGGAAAAGGCAAAAACAAAGAAGAAAAAAACAGACGAAAATGTTATCTTATCGGTTTTGGTCTATAGGATGATAATATGTATGACGAAGGGGGTATTATCGACTGGAATGGGAAAGGCAAAAAGTATTGGCGTTTATTTGCCGCCATTAAAGTCCTGAGCCGTAAAGTTGTTGAACTGCAGTTGCCGCCTATGGTTCTGATGAGGAGAAGACTTGGAAACCATCGTGGCGTCGGTCCAGTTGAATTCCGTGTTTCCGCTAGGCATGGACGCGTAGTAAGCTGTCGACATGGACATCTGTGGTGGCGGGAAGCTAGGGGTTGAGGGTTGGCTCATATAGCCATCGGACACATAATTTGGTAGGCAAAACTCAGTGCTCCTCATCGGGAACTCAACGCCAGGTGTAAGAAGAGCCTCGTCAGAAGGCGCGAAGCCAAGGGTCGCCTCAATAGAGTGAGTGAATGTGTCTCCAATGGTAACAGGAGTCGCAGGCGGCGTTCTAAGGCTCTGATCCAAGGCCGAGGGGTGGGTAGACACCTCCGAGTAAACAAGGAAAGGTCCATTGTCATCGGATGATGAGTTGGAAGAGACCGTCGCCTCGCGTAGAGACTGTTGCGTGGCGACCACTGGAGTGCTGGGAGTAGGCGGTGCCATCGCACTGTTGAGAGATGAAGCCATCACATTAGGTGAGCGGGCAGCCTGGAGAAGAGACTCTTGCCTCCGGTCGCTGAACTGCCTTTGCTGCGCAGGGAATCTTCGGATACCTTGGGGTCCGAATCCAGATGCAGAAGCAACCCTCCGCATGGGACTTCCCGGATCCACACGCCTGGCGCCGCCAAAGTCCATACCTGTAGTCGGTCCGTTCGAGGAACTCCGAAGGCCCGAGAGAGCGAGACCTGGCCGCTTCCTCCGCCCAGCGAGATCCACTGCAGGTGGTGATTTAATGCGGAATCCCTGCTGGTTCATTTGCTCCGACGCGACATCGTGAAAGCCGGTTTCAATGGCTGGTTGAGTCGCTTCCACATCTTGGTACGCCATTGGCATTTCCCGTTTCATTGGCAATTGCGTCTCGAACGAAGTCACCTCGTCCGTGCTACCGGGAAACATCATGTAAGGGTAGGAGAAGGCCCCGATCCCGTCAGCGCCGCCTTCAACCGAACAGTTCATCGGAGCTGAGACCGACATCGCCGTAGGATCGGAAGTTGCGCAAGGCACTGTCATCATGCTGGAGAAATCCTGGCACTGGGTGGTGCCATAAGAAGCGCTATTGACCGACGTTGTGTTGAAGGCAAAATTGAGAGCATCTGGGGATGCATGGCTCGAGTACGTGGTGTTGGGCTGCGATTCGGGTCGGCTGTGCTCCTGTTGTGGTGATGCCCGAGTCGAAGGGACATTCACATCAGCGAGCGGGCCCGGGGAGCTGATTTCCGTCTTTATCGTCGGCTTAGTAGGCGTGGTGTCATCTGGCTGCTTGGTCGAGGGGAGGGGCTCTTCGGTATCGACCGTTGGGGAAATTTCCACCTTGACGTCTTCCTCGGCCTTGTTCTTTGCCTCCTGCATTTGCGCCTTGAGCTCCTGCTTCTTCTTCGCGCGCCTGTTCTGGAACCAGTTCTACCCGAGGGCCAGTCAGCTTAAAGTCCATTTGCAAACAGTCGAGAGAGGTGACCTGGGCAGGGCTTGCAAGCCACCACCATGATTAAAGGAAGACGGGGATGAGATGTAACTACATTAATGCGGGCAACCTCCACCCTCATTTGCTCGGCGAGTCCCTTTTTGACATTTGAGGTCGGCTTGTTGTTCTTCTGGAATTCGGCCTCTAATTGCTCGACCTCTCCCTTGGATAACCTAGGTTTCGTCTCAGTCCGGTGCGACTGGAGCAGAGAGTTGCGCGCGTATGGGTCCATCCAGCGGTGACCTTGGAACTGGAACTGCGGTGGTATCTCGCGGACCTGTTGTTGTTGTGGTTGCTGAAAACGGGGATTTTGAGTGTGGTAGAGGCCACTGGTGTAGGCAGTCTGGGGCAACCGGTGTTGCACTTGCTGGTAGGGGTAGTACTCCATTCTGTCGTCGTCCTCCCTTAAAAAGGGATCCCGTTGCGATCCTCGCTGGTGAGCCAATGGGGTTGTTCGGTGTCGGGGCGCGTGTGTGTATGCTTCCTCCGCGTAGCGAGTAATAATGGGACCAAGGAACTGCTGATCAAGATCTGAACTATGAGAAGTCCCGAAGCCCATGCATATGGATGGCTTTCTATCCGCCGAGATAGACAGAAACTGAAAGAGAGAGGCCGAAACTGAGGGCTGAGGAATAGAGGAGCAACTCGGTAATAGTGACCGCAAAGGGTGAGAGTTTAGAACACCGGCTCTCAAAGATAGTAATGATATAAGTGAGAGAGCCGTGGCGGCCTTTATGTTAGTGGAGGGTTTGGACGCGGATCGATAGGCAAGAAAGGATAAAATGAACTCGAGCTTCGCTTGGCAAGGCGAGGGAGGGTGGTGAATGCTTTAAACATTCGTGAGACCCCACAAGTAAGGAGCAGACAGGGGGAGGGTCAAACTAGGACAATAAGGGGGGGGGCGTGTGTGGTCCAGAGTGAGACAGCAGCGAGTACATGTAGGTGAGTGAGCAGGCTGGTATGATCTGAGACCTCCAAGAGAAGAGAGAAGGGTCGTGGAAAACACGAAGGAAGCAGGAGGAAGGGGGGCTTTTCGCTACGAGCAAGAGGGGTGTGGAAGGGTAGATATGGAGTGTTCGACAGGTACGAAGTATGCCCACACCAGTTCTAACTACTTCCCACTTCGTACTGACCAGTTACTGGGCGCAAGGACGGAGCAAGTCCTCAATGTGCTGTGGTGTGTGTAAGTGCTAACTCCACGGGGCGCGCCAGCAAGGGGAGCAGGTCCACGGTGATTCCACTCGAGCTAGGGAGGATCTCTTAGCTCATTACGAAGAGACGCAGGAGAAAGTACACTATCACCCTCGAGGGCTTGGACAAAAGGAAATCGACATGGGCATGGACAGGACAGGCATGCACTGGCATGGCAAGAGACATGGGCGTGGGTGGGCATGGGCTTGGGGAAGACTATTACGAAGTAAAGTAGGGTACAACAGCGTTGTACATCTCAGTACCTGTTCCTAGGTCAGGCGGGGGAAAGTGCGCCAAACCCATCTTTCTTGGGCCTCCACAGACACACCCACAGGGGCGTTGCTCGTGGAGGCATCGCCGACCGGAAGTCTTACCTCTCTCTTTTAGCGGCCGGGGGAGAGAGTACTAGCAATACAAGTTAGTGTGAGGGGGGGAGGGGCGAGATTAAGCAACAAATACCCATATCCACAGAATTGCCTGCCAGGGTCGGTCCCGAAAGGCGACCATTCCAGCGAGAACTGACTGTTGTGCAATGAGTTTGTTGTGCTGTGGGCTTGGGACTGGCGTGAGATTGTGGTGTGTGACTAACGCAGTAATTTTACCTTGGCTTCTACACATGTTGTACTTCGTACTGCTTCGTACTTTTAGAAGTACAAACCTGAACTACAACTGTACTTTGCACTTCGTACGAAATAGCCTACAAGTTACGTACCACTCAGATCATGGAGCATTGGATCAGCCCAACGAGCAGGGGTTGAAGCTGGCGGCCCACAGGGTGCACAGGACGACAGGTACGAAGTACACTCCTGCCAACGTCGAAACCCACTGGGGACCCGAAGTGTACAATCCGTGGATTGATAATTAGTGCGGGTTGCACTCTTGGCGGTACTCTTATGGTACCCGTTCAAGGAAGGCACCCGCCCATCAATGTTTTTTGGCAGTCCATGATGAAATTGATAATGGGAACTGGGAGGTGCCGTGCCGTGCGATTTCAAAGATCTACAGGTTGTATCAATCATATCGATCAATACCTTCCAGGTCTCCACCGAGCAAACCAGGACCTCCTTGTACACTAGAGTCTATATACTGGAGAATCGAGCGCCACATCGCTGTACTTGTAAATACTTCAGAAGCGGGCATCAACTCGAGCTCGGCTCAGGATCCATTGAAGGGGGAAGGCCCCCGATCCTCTTCGGACCTGACCCTTTGCTCTACGCCTCAAATCCTAGGTAGCACTTGTCCCACCCAGTAAACTAAAACAGGCATTGTGGTTTGGGATTGGAAGAAACAAGCGGAAAGCAGTGAGGCACACGAGTCCGCGGAAGGGTTTTAGACTTTTAGTTAACAAGAACACTTGACAAGTAAAAAGTGATTCCGACCATGGCTGATGGACAATAAAAAATCAGTTGATAACTGACGAAGACCTTTGGCGGAAATTTTACTTCGTGCATTACGGCGTCGCCGCAAGCCGGCATGCGAAGTACTCATAGCCTGCCGCATCGTCTAGAACAGTACACTAGGATACGAGAAATTCCCAACCAAAAAATCGCAAAGGGAGGTGGTCACACTGGGCAAGACAAAGAGTGTTGAAAACCTATGAGCTGTGACGAATCGGGAGACGCGGCTTTCAGGGTCGAGGATAGCAGTACCTCGGTACTTCCCTTCAGAATCAATGGGCACAATTAACATGATTTGTACACAGTGTCCTAGGGACAACTTCATCCTCGAACCATAGTCAGTGAACAGGTACCACGCAACTCTTAGCGCTGGTCATTGCACCGGAAGGCAAGTGCGGAACCCCTGCGACCTTTCCCACGCAAGTGGGCTCAACGTGCGGAATAACAACGCGATGAGAAAGATTGAGACAACTTCAACTGCCTTGGCTGTCAGCCAGAGAGACTACAAGGAGAGAGATACCAGACTTCAAGGCATACTGAGAACCCAGATTGTTAAATGGCAAGCGCCGGTGAAAAAGCGATCTTCGGCAATCACAAGGTGGCAGATACGACAGAATCGACAGGTATTTTACTTTGTCGCAAGCCTGCACTTTACGGTAAACGAGCTCTGGGCTTGCCGGGAATTTAGGGTATCCCTCCGTTCGCCCACTTGCACGGCGCACTTGGACGTTAGGCGGAAGGCTCATCCCAAACCAACATACCACCCAGCGCGGTGCCTGAGCACCATTCCATCGTCATAGCACCAGATCACATACCATTGACCAGGTACTCCAGGGGCGCGATCTCAATGCTGGCTCAGTTCAGGCTCGGTGTTTGTCCCCCCCGCTCCCGCTCGTCCTCAAGGCTACCACGGTTCCAAGAAGTCTCTGGCGCCATGTAATTTGGAGTGCCTTGCGAGAATTTAAAGGACGAAGGAAGAGTACAAAGTACCTGTCATCTTCTCCTTTGTAGTACTTCGGACTGCCTTGTGGCCCGACCCAACCCCTGTCAAGAACCCAGCAAGTTCCTATCCCAACAGGCTGGTTGACAATGTCGATCAGCGGGCATACAACGTAGCTTAGTTGCAGCCCCTGGAAGCTGAGGATGTGAGTGATTTCGATGTCCTTGGCGATGCCTCAAACCAAGGGAAACGACTCGGCGGTCCCGCATCCGAGATACTTGCCAACGCCGGCTTCTCAAAGGTTTAATTCCTAGTCACCTAAAACCTCGCCTGACCCAGCTGCTCCGACCTAGCTAATTTTATTATTATTTTTTCGGTATATTCCCCCCCCCCCCCCCCCCCAAAACCAACCATACCGCCTAGCCAGATCTCTTGACGATCCACTTGACTCTGATCACGGAGCCTAGAGCCTGCTTCGCGGAGCGCGAGGCCGGCATGGGGACGGCCTCGAAAAAAAAAAACCAGAAGTAAAATAAAATGAAAAATGAAAATAAACAAGTATCGGCTAAACGCACGCACGACTCGCCCTAGACACGGGAGCTTAAATCACCACGGAAAACACTTACAAGGAGGCGAGAAGTAATACCGATCTCACATATTCGTGTCGACTTGCGTAGTCTTTCTGCATGCTAATCATGCAGGAGAGTTTCGTTTCGTGTCGGAAGCAAACTTCACAGAGTCCACACTATTGGCACGGCTAGTCAAGCTCAGCAATTGTAAAGTCCGGGTTTGCAACGACATCTTGATTACGATATTTTCTTACTCTTCCTCTCGCTCCATCATCCGTTTTCGTTCTTAATAGAAGGGAACCCTGTAATATCTGGTGGGTTTCGATTTCCACATCTTTGGGGTCCGCAGGCGCTTGCAAGGTCAAGGGATTGTCCTATTTCGAATATATGAAGTGCGAAGTCTGGAGATAGTGGCAAAGCTGGAGTTCCACTAATTTACAGGACTACAAATTTTTTTCTCCTCAAGGCCCGACGCTTCAGTGACAGAAACCAGCCTGGCTATTCGTCAATCGCGAATGACGCGTGTCCCGGAAACATTGAACACCCCAGGCGTCTTTGCTGGCCAGTACAGCCTTGATCACGAAGCGTGAGGTTCGTGAGAACCCAGCAGTGTGGATAGTATCGATTTAGGTACCTTGTGCTAGATTGGTTTGGGAAATCCAGAGGCGTCTCCACCAATGTTAGATTAATATCTGACGAAGCACCTACAGGTCTTTTCATCCATGCAAATCGGAAGATTGAGCCAGCTTGCCGGTGACCCGTAAAGGAAACATGAAATCTGTTTTGAAAGTACACTATGGATCACTCAGCTCAAGCCTCAACAAGACTTCGATCCCTCTGTCAATCTTTGGGCGCCACGATCGGTGGTGCCACCCCTGTTAGTCCTCGTGGGTCGGGAACCCATGTTCTGGGGATCGATAACTCTATTCGAAAGCAGTAGTTTAAGCCAGCCAGGCTTGCTGACCTCGATCATCTACTTCGTACTTGTAGAGATATCGACATACACCGATTAAAAATGTAGACCCAGCCAGGAAGGAGTCGTTGAAATACGACGTAGAGCGGCCAACATCCAGGCACAGCCGCCAATTTGTTGTTGTTGGGTGTGATTGTGAGACAAAGTCGCTCTCAACCAGCTTTCGGCCGGCGGGAGGGACCACACAGACACAACACAGCTATTCATTTGCGAAGCAGAGGCAGGCAATAACACGGAGAACAGCAAAGCAAATGCCGCTCAGCACTCCGTTGCCATCCTCGGTCAGAAAGTTGGGAGCTTGGGACGCGTTCCCGGCTC